AGCATTCTCTGTTAGAAGGTGTCAACTTAATTTTATACAACATTCCACTTCTTCAAACACTTTCAAAGCTAAAAATGGTTGTTGGTTCTTGGGATGGAACTCCTTTATTTCCTACTATCAATCATGCAATTGAAATAATTAGACAAAAGATGTCTTAATCCACCATTCCTTACTTTTTTCACACTGATTTGGAGGACTTTCATTGTAGAAATTTTAAATATATACCCTAATAATGTCTTTATTTATTACTAAATAAAACAATTATATTGTATATACTTATATTTAATGTGAAACAATAAGATTATCAACTGAGAATTAAGTAGAAAAAAGAATAGTTATATTCTACAGTGGTACTCGAAGATTGGCACGGTACGGTGGTTTACCGCGGTAACCGTGAGAAAATTTACCGCGGTAAGAAAAAACCACGGTATGGATCGCGGTACGCGCGGATGGTTACCATGCCAGGGCCTACCAGTGACACGCTACGACGCGACGCGTGACTCGCGAACATCACTGTACTCTCGAGTCAGACGCGTTCTGTACCTGCATTGAAACCATTTGATAGCATAATGTCGAGCGACGAGGATATTCCAATGGCAGACGCTGACGCGACTCACAGTTTTAATTTCAAAGGAAAGGGGAAGGAAACTTATGCAGAATACACGCAAGATGACAACTTACCATGGTAAGTGAAGTAGTTTTACGCGTCGGCCATCGCTCATCTCTAATAGGGTTGAGAAATATCGCCCTGTTACGCTTGATGACGTTGTATCGCATAAGGATATCACGAGCACAAGTAGGTTGTGCCGGTAATTGAATTAGGACGAGTTGCTAATGGAGCGCGTATGTAGTCGAGAAATTCATTGAGAAGAACCGTCTTCCCCATCTCCTTTTCTACGGACCTCCCGGAACTGGTAAAACTTCCACGATACTAGCTGTTGCTCGTCGTATCTATGGACCGGATTATCGGAAACAGATTCTAGAGGTGAGTGCTCACTACCGATCGTGGTTATGAAGTTAATACTCGTGCCCAGCTCAATGCATCCGATGACCGTGGCATTGACGTCGTGCGGGAGCAAGTTAAGCAGTTCGCGGAAACTCGAACCTTGTTTTCGAAGGGCTTCAAGCTCATTATATTGGATGAGGCGGACATGATGACACAAGCTGCGCAGGCTGCTCTCCGTCGCGTAATCGAACAATACACAAAGAACGTCCGTTTCTGCATTATCTGCAATTATGTCAACAAAATTACGCCAGCAGTGCAAAGTCGTTGTACTCGTTTTCGTTTCAGTCCGTTGCCAATTAAGGAAGTGGAACGTCGTCTGGAAGGGGTCATTGAAGCTGAAAGGTACGAGACCTCTTGCGGTCTTGCTAGCGGTATGCTAATTGTCTCGGAACACAGTGTTAAATTAACGCCGGATGGCAAGGACGCACTCTTGAAACTTTCCAAAGGCGATATGCGCCGCGCTCTAAATGTTTTACAAGCATGCCATGCAGCCTACGATGTAATCGGAGAAACCGAAATCTATAACTGCACTGGCAGTCCTCAACCGAAGGACATTGAGACCGTTGTTACCTCCATGCTTGGGGATGAATTCACGACTTCGTATGAAAGTAAGCTTCCAAACACTGTATTTATCGAATCTTGCGAGCTTTTACGTTGACTTTGGCTGGCTTATCCAGTGATATCTGCTCTTAAGATCGAACGTGGACTGGCCCTCCAGGACCTTATCACAGGAGCTTATGATTACATAGAGACGATTGAATTCGGTTCGCAAGCTCGAGTTTATCTGCTTGATCAACTAGCTTCGACAGAGTAAGGCGGATCAAGTGTCATTCATTTCAGATTGCGACTAACGCCAAATGCCAGATACCGCCTCTCAACTGGTGGAAGCGAGAAGATACAGTTGACGGCACTCCTTGGTGCTTTTAAGAATGCTGTCGAGCTTTCAAAGAAGGACAAGTAACTGCCTATGAGGAGCATTATTTCGTGTCGCAATCTTCGGTCTTCTATTCTAGGACGTGTATTCTAGCCTCAGCTCCGCAAACGAATGATGATCCGTTCATTCTTCCCTGAAATGGGACATCAATTATGGCAATGCAGACTATGTGGCAAACGAGTTTAGTTCAGTAAAGGCAATTACACTGTACTGATCATTATGTTGGAACAACGGAATACTCTTTGTTCATTCTGTTTCGAGAATTTTGAACATTGTTTTAAGGTGTCGTCCATCTATTCACGCCTTCTTATCTAACTATCTGCCATGTATGGAGAGTCAATATGCATTCCTAGTCTTATGTCATGCCCATCATATCGATTCATCAACGCATAGTCCTCTGGTGTCTTATCTGCTTTTGCTGCGTTACCAGTGTTGGAAGTCCTCGGCATATATCAAGATTGCTTGCTGCCCTGCGGACATCATATTATCTCGCTCGCTTGAGAAAATTCGCAATATCAAACTGTGTACTCGTGATGTCTTGCTCATTTTGGATTACAGATAACAGAAACTACCTTTGCAGGCCATAACACTCTTAGTCGAGTATTGTTAAAAGGTCAAGGGCAAAGAAACTTGAAATTATTCTAGGAGATAGAAAACCCCTTTGCGCGCTTGGCGTGCTCCTCGGAGTTCACTTCATATCGTGAATCAGTGCAATGGTGGCGCGGCGCATCAAGCTTTGCGGATGCAATGTACTCACGCTCATCGCTTTCTCGGTTCAATCATTTCATCCACGAGCCAGTGAGTCCGATTGCATCATACTGGATTCTTGTCACACTGCCCGGTTCGATGAGCAAATAAAATAAGCAACCAGTGAAGTTGCTTCGAAATTACTCACATCCTTCAGGCCGAGGTCAGGACTCAGCAGAGCATTTTTATGCTACTTTGACTGCAGGAAGCTTGTGTGCGTAGTTCGGGTTGCGCCACAGTGCATCTGAAACTATGGCTGTCGTTCAGGTCTGCTCACAGAGTCCGACGCATTTCTAGGACCTCTCTTCCAAAGATGGCGAGCTTTCATGACACGCAAGCGCTCTGAGTACTAACATTGCCAATTGCATGAACAGGCTCAAGACAAGAACTCTTCCTACATTTCTCATATTTTTGTTAGGAATAGCTGCAAATGTCTCACAAGCTAACCTCTTCAATCAGTAGGAACCAACCAAGGGGGCACAAAGCCAGACTTTCAGTCTTATTAGCACATTGTTTTACTTTCTTGTTTCTTGTAAAGCTGTATTATCAATGCCACACGTACTGCTCAGAATAATCTTAGATGTACTGTAACACACTACAGCTGCTTCCTTACCAGGATCACTATCATATGATATTACTATTTAACACTTACTAGTATATGTGATTGTATAGAGAATTGTCTACAACTGTTGACCATCCTCTGTGAACCGTCTTTTCTTTGTGCTACCAGAAGACACGTGTCTAGATCTGATCTGAGGCCGAGGTTGACAGTATCTCTGCTCCTCATTTGCCAATTCCAATAGTAACCCTTCAAGCTCGTCCACTTGCCAGTTTTCCATCAAACTCTCTACTTGTGCAACTGTTAGTTCTTGATTTTGTTTTGCAAGTGCCCCAAAATTTGTCTTAATCCAGTCGTAGTTATTCTGCCACTTGTCCTTCTTCAAGTTAATTAACCTTATCTCATCATTGTATCCCTTATGAAGTCTATCAAGCCTTGTCTTGATACTATGCCATTTGTCTATTGCTTTCTCTATGTTGTCAGCATCTGCATATGCAGTGCTCTCGTGTCGGGAGTGAGAGCTCATTTCCCTAATACTGATTCTGCTGACGCTGCTGTTACTTGGTTCGTTGTGCTGTCCTGCTTGCTTGTACGCCTGCTCGTACTGACAGAATGTTTCTTTGAAGGGTGGGTGCCCTTAAATAACTACTGCACACTAGACTTTATAGTGTAGAGCCCAAATTGCAGATGACGGGAACAGTTGGTGCAAAGCAAGATATGATGATGCTATGAATAGAATGATTGGAACTGGACAATCGTGGCATAATGCAATACAGACCTGTTTGTAAAGTTTTACCCACCTACCCTACATAGTATTTACCTAATTTGGTAATATTACATTGTTTCTTGCACGATTTGACAGATGGTGGTCCCCTTCCTTGTATACAACAATGCTAGGACTTACCATATGGCACACATAGCTCACGTACGGAGAAACATATGGACTGAAGCTGTGCTATTCCAGTTCAGTCAATAGTCGTTTAGATAATACTGGGTTTGCAGCATAATCTTTGAAGCTCTCCAACATCCATGGATTTCTAATCTTGATTCGTCTTTTACTAGACTTCGACATTAATATATCATTTAGTGGTTGCTGCAGAATGTTTGATATGAATAACAGGTGATTAAATGCTGAATTGATTGTAGGACAGATTTCAGAGCCGTAGCTTGCTAAAGACAGTGTCATGATTCTACCCAATTCCAAATTTATAAACAACTGCTCGAGTTTGACCGACGGCTTGAGTCATCCGGGTCTGCTTAGGAGACACATGATAATCAGCACATATGCAAACAATCATTCTGGCAATGTCATGTAGACATTCTGTCGAGTGCAGGTACAGCAGCTTGAGCCACACTGGAAAAGGCAATATACTATGAGAACATTGAGAAGTACTGCTTGATCCCATACAGCAGAAGACCTGTAATAGAAATAAGAATTACAGTAAATTTTCAGTCGACTAACTCTTTGTCATAATATTGATTTCTTGCTGGTAAAATTGTGCAAACAAACTCATGTATATTGCTGCAAACAATCGTAGATACCGAATTTTCTGCCTTCAAGTTGCTACAGCTTCTGGGTGGAGCTGCTGTCTTGTTAAGATCATCATTATTTACCACTGACTATGTATAATACATGTGGGTATAGGATATAAGTATTCACTGTATGATACTAGTATTAGCCCCCCGCGATCCGCCTCCTCTTTGAGCCAGTAGACTCGCGGCTGGTCCCAGTTTGTGGTGCGCAGTGGTATTTCTGTTCCTGTACTGCCAAATCACCCAGCAACGCCTCAAATTCGCTTGCTTTCCAGTCATCCATTTGGCCTTTTACTTCTTCAACTGTCAGTCTTGGATTTTGTTTTGCAATACTCCCAAACTCATCCTTAAACCAGTTGTAGTGCCCTTGCCACTTCTGCTTCTTCTTCTCATAATACTTTATTGTGTCCGTGAATGTGCTATCTAGTCGTGTAATCCTTTCCTTAATATCATGCCATTTGTCTATTCCTGGCTGCATTTCGTCAGAATTCACATTTGCAGTGTTCTTTGGGCTGATACTCATTTCAGTATCGATGCTTTTGTTGATACTTTTGTTGATGGTTCGTTAGGCTTTCCTGCTTCCTAGTGTCCTTGCTTAGCTTAATGGAATGCTTCTTTGAGGTGCGACTTTGGATCGGTAGTACGCGCACTTTATAAGACAAGAAACGAGTTTGCAAATGCATGGTAAGCTGTCAGAGCAAAGAAAGTAAGCTGCTGATTGTTTATTGGCAGACGTTATCACTACTTTGCTGAACTAGTGCAAACTGCCTGTTTGATCAGCAATTGCAATGACGAGCTACATGCCATTACCAAGGGCTGCATTACAATAAGTTATGAATGTCAATTTACCTAGCGATAAACACAACAAATGGATTTCCGACAAAAGCGTGCAACGTCGTAATAATAAGAGGTGGTCAGGAAACGAGTTTGCGCTACTGTAATCGACCGATAAAGCATAATATAATTTTGCGTATATAATATATACGCAAATATAGTAGTGTGTCACGTGATGCGGGCGTGCAATGACACGACGCGGTCCTTGAAGTTGAAGCTCACGACGTGTTCAACGCTCATGGCCTTTCCCGTTCCCAATCATCTCCCACGCAAGACTTTGCGTACAGATGTGTCGTCCAATATCCTCTCCACAATATCTGATACGAATAGCAAGTCATTAAACGCTGAGCTAGCTGCAGGATGGGTCTCTGAACTGCAACTCGCCATACAACAGACCAAAGTCAGCATTGGAATTCTATGTTCGTGTTGCAGAACTCAAACCCTTCTACCAGGACGGTATATGTGATCGGATTAATGAGCAACTTCCCGAATTCAATCGACAGCTTGATTCGTCTAGGTCTGTTCAGATACGTCTCGGGGACCTGACTCGGAGCGTGGACAAGCTGTCAGAATCCCTTGAGCGTCCCGAAGTACGTGTACTCGTGCAAGGCTTGCTGCTTGTCTAATGCGGTCCCAAGGATGGCACTCTTTCTACACTTCTTAGAACTTTAAGGAACCATAAGGATTTGGCACAGCATGCTTCCGACGCCCTGGTCATATATAAAGCTTTGTCGTATTTGAGCCAGTGCCGCACAGGCTTCGAGAGTCTACGCGCGTCCGTCGCGAGTGGAAAGCTTCCAGAAGCTGTACAAATATCTGAAAATGTCTCCAAGGCATTGGACAGTGCTCCTAAGCCACTTGCAAATGCGGCGGTCATGACGGACATGAAGGTGTGTAATGATATACTTGGAGTCGAAAGGTTTGAAGCTTATTACTTGGACAAAAGAATCAACTTCGAACGCTGAGGGACAGTATTGAGGAACAACTAACTGAAGCTTATGCAAGGAGCGTTAAAGTGTCGACGACTGAGCTGCGCATCTGCCCGTCCGTCAAAGGTAGCGTGCAACGCCTGCCTTAGTGTTCCTTTCTCATGTTTTTGAACAGTTCGACAATCTCAAGCTATTATCACGCTGCGGGACATTCTATCATCTCTCACCTCTAATTCGCTAGAATCACTTCTCGCGTCGCTGCGTCGAGATATTATTGCACATTTCATCAATTTCCCGCTGCAGCAGCCAATATCTTCAAGTATTTCGAACGCTCGCGATGTCGATGGGACGCCATCTATATCTTTATCTATCTTTCCCCTTCCTCCATCCCCCGGCTGCCGAAGTTCGACACCCTCTTACCTCGAAGAGCTACTCAAGTTCCTTCGTGAGAATCTTTTTCCAGCCGTACCACCTTTAGCCTCCTCCTTCTCGCATTCATTCTATAAACCGACATCAAGCGCCCTTCTACGTGACGTCCTTATTCCCTTCATTCCGGCATCCTTATCTGACCTTCCACAATTCCTGTCGCTCGTGCGCGACTGCGTTTACCTCGAACGCGACTACTTCATAAACGGTGACGCTATAGCCAGCCCCCTCGACAGTGAAGGCGAACTTCGGACTTGGGCCAAGGGTATCGCGGGACATTATGGTCGAAAGCGCCGGGTGGATTTACTAGCTCAGGCCAGGAAAATAGTTCTGTCAAACGGGGATGAACGCGTCGTTCGAGTGGAGGTGTCTCAGCCTCTTGAAGGAAGTGTTGTGCTACCTGGCCCAGAAGTTATACCAGTACAAGGTGACATCAATACCAAAGATGAGGCTGAGAACGGCTGGGACTTCGAGGATGAAGTGCCTGCTGCTGATTCAGCTCCATCTACAAATGGTAAATCGCATGCTGAGGAAGGTGGTCCATCTGGTGAGGTGCCTGCAGAAGCCGAGGGAAATGGATGGGATTTCGATGACGCAGGTAAAGACACGTCTAATCAAACCAAGGCGGAAATTCAAGACGACTCTGACGCCTGGGGTTGGGGAGATGAAGGCGAAGATAGCACGCTTGCTACGGGTACGGAAGATAGTGGTGACAAAACTGTTCAGACAACCAACGGGCACAGCAGATCTACACATCAAGAGGACTCTGACAGTTCAGCATGGGATTCAGCATGGGATGAAGCTGACCCTGTACCTCAATTACCATCCTCTACTGCACAACCGGTAAAAGCACCGAAGGTTGCAAAGCGTTTGGAGAAACTGACTGCGAAGGGGAAAGGGAAGACAACTGCCTCTCCAGCATTATCGTCCAACCCACCTTCATCGGTATTTTCAGCATCATCTACATTGCCGCCTAGCGTCTCGTCTACATCGCACACTTTTAGTTCACCTCATTCCAGTTCTTCGTTCTCCGCTGTCGCTTCTCCCATACAAAGTAATCATCCACCCCCGCTAAGCTCGCATTCAGCAGCTTCACGATCACCAGCACTTTCTCTTCCTCAGAAGCCTAAGGAGCCGGAAACTTATCTCATCTCTGGACGTATTCAAGACCTTGTCCAGCTTATCTCTGAAATTCTTGACGAGGGAGGAACTACCGCATCTTCATCACTCTTCTCTGATTTCCCATTATCATCACCCGAGTCTAACAGCAGTGCTAGCACATTCGTCTTGCAGACAGCACCCGCCGTGTTAGACTTATACCGTGCTGTATATCCTATCGCATTCGCAGCCGAGCTTACAAGTTCTGCACGAGCTTTGCGTTTCGCAAATGACTGCACGTATTTACACGAAGAGGCTGCTCAACTCAAACTTGCAGCAGACAATGCGGATGTGGTACACGAACAGATGCGCGAGGCATTAGATCGCTTACACGCACTCGGCGCGTGGTGGTATGACGAGGGCATCGTGAGTAACTAACTATTCCGGAAGCTTTTTTTCGATTTCCGTAATTGGCCAACTGACGACGTGTGAAATTTGTAGGAACGTGAATGCGAGCGTGTACTACAAATTCTAGCTCGCGCAGAGGGCTTCGCGGACACTGGTGACCAGGAACGATTCGATGAGTGCGAGGCTGTGATGAGCGAGGTCTTACGAGAGGTGCGGACTTCGACGGCGGAGTGGAAGGTGCGTGTCCACACCACACACAGTTTTAATTTCCAGTATTAGGTTAATCTAACGAATTGGTCTTGCCTTTTTGGTCTCCCTTTATTCTATCAATCACATACAAATTCACGTTTATCACGTTCCGGTGACATGGGATTATGGAATTTCGTTGACCCGGTGGGGTACAGACGGTGTTGCCTCGCACGAGGTGGCTACGAGCTGCAGGGCGTATCGTGGAGACGGTGTTGTCCCGTGTGTTGGAAGACATACTTGCGTTACCGGATATCCCTGAACTGGATTCGCGCCGACTGGGCGAGCTTTGTCGGATACTGAACTCTCTTGAGGCGATTTTTGTTGACGCGGACGATCTGAATGCGGTGAGATATCTCTTAATAACCTTGCTGTCAATTTGATTATTGACAGATGATTTATTTCCTATCAAAGCCATCAATGATCCTCGATTATGTCCCGTCCTGGCTCAAATATTCGTACCTCGCAGAGCTACTCGTGAGTTCCCGGCTTACTTTACTCATGCTACGTTTCCTTCTCTTAATCTGCGAACACGTGGGATTCCTACTGATGCACATTGATCACGTCCGTCTGTCTACAGGAAGCCTCCCTTGCGGATCTGTCGTACCTATTCGATGAGGGTGCGTTGATTGACTTTAGCGTGGACGAGTTGGTGAGACTTGTGCGTGCATTGTTCGCGGATACGCCGTTACGTGATAATGCGATTGCGAAATTACAACGTGGGCATCCTGTTGTTGATTCTTGAGGAGCTTTGATGTGTTGTTCATGCATTCGTCTTTTCTTTTTCTCTTTCTTTCTGTCCATTACTTCTTTTGCGTTGTTTGCGCTATGGGACACGGTTGCATACATTACATATTTTATTATCCACGTCTTACCATGTCTCTATGCACCATTTTCGCATGCTCTTTTTTTTCTTTCAATTTTACTTGCATCCATATCTTTTCGTATGACGAAAAGGGTTCTATACTTCGAACACCAAAATGACATTTACTACATTCCAGTAGATGAAGAGATCCGAAATTGTTGACAGATAAGGGAAGACGGATAGGTTGTAGGAGGTTTACGGCGAGAATCGCATCTGTCGTCGGGATCGAGGATTATGGCGTTAGCGTTTCTTCCCTTCTCTTGTGTTGAACGCGGATTGACACGTACATTTCATATTCGCGTACGAAAATAAATAATGTATATATACTCTCTTGGTGTACTGTAACTTGTGAGATGTAGAATGGTGCTAACGCTACTATGAGCGTAGTACAGTCTACAGATAAGTTTCGGAAGTATCGTAACAGCGGACGGAGAGACGGCTGACCCGCATGTAAGGCACGCGTACTCCTCGGAACGCACAGTTTCAACGCACTTACCGGCTGTCAAACATGTGAGGGTAATAACAGAATTCATGTCACATTTGATATCATATCATTCTTACTTTTTATGGTGTTATACATGCATAAAAATACATAATACAGTAATGATATTATTCGCGTGCTCTTACGAAGTGCAGTATAAAAGCAAAGTCGTTCCGGGTGCCCTCTAGGCTCTTACTACTTGGCGGCCAGAACGTAGGCGCATACATCCATACGCATACGCACGCAAACTCCATTCAGCACCCGTCCTTTTGCCCTAGTCTCTTACTTTTCTACTTTACTCCTTCTAACAAACCTTAAGCTTCCTTCCGTGCATACACCCGAGGGCGTCGCTCTCGGACTTAAACACTCATTTTAGAGAAGAAGCACTAGTTACGCACTGCTGCTGCCACCACACACACGACTTACTGTAATATGCATCTCCCTTTGCGTCGACGGGATACCAAGCGGCCTGGTACACCTACCACAGCTCCGCAGGCTGCGCCTAGCATACACGAGGCGTCTGGGACGTCGGTCAAGTCAGCAGCGTCGACTCCTGGCGCCCAGGCTCAGTTGTACGACTTCCTTGCACAGGCGCCGTCTCAGCAACAGAAGGAGCAGACGCCGCCACATGGATTGAAGGGACTTGGGAGACGTATGACGGGCTCGAAGCCTGTGAGGATGTTGAAGAGCATTGCGTCGAAGACGAGCTTGAGGGGACATGGAAGGCACACTTCGTCGGTGGCGGGGAGCATACGGAGCACGAGGAGTGTCGCGAGTCAACATGAGGCTGTGGCGGAGGAGACTGCTAATGTCAATGCTAATGGGAAGACGGAGGAGGGTGTGAAGGGAAGGACCTCTGGGGAGACGGATTACGGGAAGGACGTGACGAATGCGCAGGCTGCCGGTGCTGAGGTGAAGAGTGCTGAGGTCGAGCAGAGCAGCGCCACACCCAACGAGAACGGGAGTGCAGATGTCATTGTCAAGCATGAGGCCGAGGCGAGGCCAGAACCGAACTCGGCAGAGGAGCCAGCTACACAGAGCGAGGAACCGAAGACGCGCATCGATCAGAATGACACAGCGGACATGGAGCAAGCTACGCCCGCCGTTGAAGCTGCCAGCGAGTCTATGGTTATCGTTGACGTCGACGACGCGAAGAACGTTAAGGACGATAGCACTGCTTCAATCGACGCTCGGGAACAGACGCGTCGTCCAGAAGAGGAAGGCATAGAAGCGCACGCGATTACGGCAGACATCCCCTCCCGTAACGCCGAAACTATCTCCTTGTCCTCTTCCTCCACCACTGTCGACCCTCCCGTCCACCACGTTGGCGAAGACTCTGCTAAATTGAAGCAAGCGAAAATGGAGCAGGATACTGAGCCTCTCAAGACGCTCGAACTTACGGAGGGCAACGTGCAGTCTGAAGTCGCGGTCACGGATGTTAACCCGTTCCTCGTGGACGACCCAGAGGACCCTCTTTCAGAGCCAGAGGCGGAGACAAAGAGTGGTGCAGACACGCCAATCGCGCAGAGCGTCGTCCTCTCCACGCAACTCGAGAGTGATGACACCAAGGCTCAGACCGTGGCACCGGTCGTAGACGAGGAACGAGCACCTTCTCCTGAAAAGACCGCTTCGTCGACTGCGCCTGAGAGCTCTCCCTTGTCCTCATCTTCCTCATCCGAGGAAGAGGCTCCAGAACTGCACGTGCCTGCTCTCGCCGTAACTTCGCTCTTCCTGCCTGTTCCTCAAGTACGTACCTTCATGCTCGGCATCGCCTCCTTGACATGGTGGTTGACCAGCAAAGCCGCTTCGTATCCACTCGCCTATTTCCCTGCTCTCTCGTCCTCACGTCTCTCTCCACTGTCCTACCTCACTAGACGGACCCACTAAGCGCGCTCCTCACCAAACACGTCCCCGAACCGCACTTGCGCCCTCCGCGCGATACAAGCGGCGAGTGGACCCACACTGACTTCCACACGCTTGTTGTAAGTGTACTCTTTCAGCTGATAAGCTATGGACGGCTCGTAAATTAATAAGATGTGTATGTCTCCCTCTGCCCTGTTGTGTTCTTTTTTTTTGTTCTGGTGGTTGTTGTACCTTCTACCCTGTTCCCTTGTCGCTTTAATGTTTCTCCCACCCGTTCGTTGGGCAATGTTATGTTTTTTTGGTGTTGTACCACCTAGATGACGAATAACTGGCGTGCGCTTGCGCGTATGGCGAGAGACCGAATCGTCGCAGCAAACCCTAGCGACGTTGAACTCATCTTGAACGTGCGTGAATTAAATTGAGACCGTTTCATCAGCACTTCATCCGTTATATTTTGGTTTACATGCGTTATCTATATGTAGCTATGGTACATCCGCCTCTCCTCCCTCGCCCGTCTCCGCCTCTTCAACCAAACATCAGCAGAATGCGAAAACCTATTCAGCGTACTCGCTACGCTCGAACCTCCCACAGCACGTGCATACATCCTCCATTCAATCCTACCCTTCGAGCTTGAGGTCTTAAGAGCGAGGTGTGCGTATTGGGCCGGAGATCATTTGGGGTACTTGGATGATGTATCGGCGTTGTTGCAGAGGTGTCGGGTGAGAGCGAGGCAGGCGAGGGGTGGTACTGAAGGGGCGATGTGGAAGGAGAGAGGGGCGAGGATGGCGTTGATTGTTGCGAGTCAGCTTGTTGAGATGAAGGTATGGTATCCCTTCGAGCTTATACAAGACTATCTTAATTTACGCTGAATGGAACATTTATTTATTTATTAGGACTACACAGCAGCCTCAACGCTCCTCGAACCACTCCTCTCCTCTTCTTCCCCCCCTTCCTCATCAACATCAGCGCCAACTACGAATCCAGCACTCCGCTCAGCCCTCGCACGCATCTACCTCCAAGGCGGTCTCCTCTCCTCCGCCCAAAAGCACATCGATATTGTCGAGCAAGATCCCTCTGCAGAACCTGCGTTGAAAAATATGAATGCGGTGATTTGGAACGCGGCGCTGGGAGAGTGGGGTGTGGCTGCTGAGTATGCTAGGGTGCTTGTTGAGGGTGAGAGTGCGGAGGAGGGGGTTATAGATGTTGTGGTAGGTTCCTATCTTCCCCTTCTGCTCTTCATTCCAGCTTGAACTTGAACATATGTAGGCTGCGAATAACTATGCAGTCGCACTTCTTGGGCAAGGACGCATCAAAGAGGTAACTCACGTCGCTCATATATTTATTTATTTTATTTATTCTAACACCTTCGATTTTATCATCATCATCTTCATCATCATCATTTGAAGGGCATCCAAATCCTCGAATCAACACTCCAAACATCACCCTCAGCAACATGCTCAACAGAGCCTTATCTCTTCAACCTCTGTAAGCCTCCTCCCCATTCATTCATGCATACATACATACCATTTTCTTCTTTTTTTCTAAAACAAAATATTAAAATATATCTCGTGTAGCAACGATGTACGAACTCCGCGCAGGCCTAACAACACAACGCAAACGAGACCTGCTCATCGAAGTAGCGAAGTGGAGCGGAGATGGCTTGCGAGCGACCTGTTTGAAGATGAACGCCTAGTACTTGAAACCTAGACATTAACCTGGACGATTTCAACAGATCAAAATACGATGTATACTATTAGCGATGACTTTCGCATGTATAAAAGACTTTAATCAATTCGACGTTGTCCAGGTCAGGTATTTGGGTCCAACGTATCGAGTCGACTACCCCTTCACACCACGTAACGCAAAAAAAATGCAAATTCACGATAATTTCCATGCATAGACTATACGAAATAGACACCCGATCCATTCATTACTGCATATTACTCTAATAACTTGCACAACTTGCAAACTCAAGAAAAAAGCGGCAGGGAAAGAGAAAGTCAGAAGAAGATCTTACTGTATATGTGAAAAGGGGTTATAAAAAAAATTGATACACATAACGTCGTTTCGTTGCGTAACTATCAACAATTGCATCATGACAATGAAAAATTTATAAGTGAGAAAAAAGGTAAAATCACAACGCTGTATTGGGTCGTGTCAAGAAAAAAGGAGCTGATCTTGGTAGTTCGGCATGATAAGGGGTATGCATGGATGCACGGACGTAGTGACAGGACGGGAAATTATCGAGTGCGAAGGATACGTTGGTAGAAAGGAAGGAGAGGTTTTATCAGCAGCAGAAGCACAGCATATGTCAAAGAGCAAGGTAGTTTCGAGTTCATGGTGATGTATGGAGTATGAAGTACGAGGCTTTAGGTTGAACTATAGGACAGTGCACTTATATGGATCTAGTTACCGGCTTGACGACTAAGAAGATACAACGATAGTTCCTGCCAGCCTAGCATAACAAACAATGCAAGTCAATACTTATTTCAACTTCACCTAACTATACGTGGTTTTTGAACAGTAACGAAAGGTAGACTCACCTCCACCAACACGACACATAACCTTCTTCGACTTCACACCAGACCGACTCATCGTAAGCAACCGGCACGCTACAATCTTCCTCGCCAAGTGATTGGAGAATGCATACTGTGCCTTGATCTCTTCGTTATCCTTCGGAATCACACGTAAAGGTGGGTCGATGCGCTCAATTAGCAGACCGTGAGGAATCCTAGAGCACGACATCAGTAATCATCTTGGTAATAAGTAGTGTTTTGACTTGGACTCACGAATTTCCGATGGCAGCAACCTCCGCATCAAGAGGATCCTTAGGATTAGCAGGTATATACGTATGCATAGAACGGGACTCAAAACTAGGCGTATATGCTCCCGCACGAGAGCCCGGTCTCGACAGGGGAGTATGCGGAAGGGGCGGAGCAACGGAAGGCTCGCGACGATAGCTCGACGGTGGTGCTCGACTCGATCGTCTTAAACCAGGTGAGATAGACGAAGCATTATCATGAAAGTACGGAAGCTGTTGGACGCGTCCCCGCAGAGTAGCTTCAGGTGTCTGGGCACGGAGAGCGCTGGAACGGAAGGACATCGACGTATCTGGACGGTCGAAATAATCGGACATGGCAGATGAAGGTCGTGATGCAGAAGAAAACGAGAGCGTGGGAACAGGAATCTTGGATCTACTTGGTGGACGCGGATAAGGGATATGAGTGCCTAAGGGTGTTTTCGCTCTTGAATATGAGGAAATGCCACTGATAGAGGACGTTGAGCGAGTAGGGGAGATGCGTTGCATAATCGAGGAATCTGGTGGTGACCTGTCGTCAAAGCTGGTATCTGATGAAGCTGAAGACCCCTTCCAATTGATAGGCATTGGAATATGACTAGGGGTCCTTGGACGTGCACGAGGATTCGTCGCAAAACCGAAAGATGATTGAGACCGTGACGGAGGTCGGCTGATAGACGATCGTGTTGTAGACCCATTTGATGCTGTAATCGGTGACCAAGGCCGCGAAGATGCAAAAGAGGCCCGGGACAGACTTCGTGGTGGGTTAGGCGTCATCGGAGGAATAGGAGGTACGGGCGGATAATTACTCGAGACCGATCGCATATTTGCTGCTGAGCTTTTCCTACTTAATGATGGTCTCACTGGTCGAGTGGGCTCCTCGGATTCGACCTTCGTCGAGCTGTTCCACCTCGGAGCCTTGAATTTTATCGTCTCTTCCGCACCAGTACGACGAGTGGTCGGTGATTCGGGAGTCATACTCTGCGAATGCTTATGCATCGGTCGCTCAGGTGTTGCAAGGTTGGTCACTCCGCGCAAGGGAAACATCGATCGTCGATTGCGAACTGTCGGTAAAGGATCGGATGCTGGTGGCTTTGCAACTTCTTCCTTACTAACAGGTGTAGCCCTCCCGCTCATCCTGCCACCGATCCTCTTCGCCAATTTCCGCAGGGGCGAAATTGAATTGGAAAGAGACTCGATTGAATTACTGATCCGCCGTGATCCTGTCGAAGACTGAGGAGTAATAAGGTGACCATTGCCATGGACTGACGACCTAGATGTCTTTTCCGAGATAACGGAACCAAATTCGTCTGCCTCGCTGCCTTGCATCAATAAAATTTTGCGTGTTGTCTCCATGTCTGCGTCTGTCCGCTGTATCCGTTCCTTCAGGTTTTTCCACCTCTGCGTAGATTCTGCATGTCGACGTAGACATTCACCGTTCTTCGTCACGCGATCCTGTACTCCTTTGTCTATAATAGAGAGAACCTTAGATGTAGCAGGCGTATAATGCCTAAAAACGCGTGAGAAACATTTCCAATACAGGACTAAAAATAAGCAAAGAACGTACTTTTTCTTCGCTTCATAAGAATCCTGTAAACTACGGAAAGTCTCGTAAGTGAGAGGAGCAGCGTCTCTTGAGGACGGGCTTGCTTGAGCTAATAGAGTCGCATCCTCAGAAGGTACTCTTTTCCGCACTCGCCAAATGAATTCCTAGATCCCCATTAGAATGCACTTATTCCTCGCATATTTCCGACATACCTGACAACGCTGTATAGCCTTCTCCAGACTAGTCATCATACCATCCGCTTGCTCGCTAACCGTACGAAAGACTGTTAACCATTTGTCTTCCTTAAGTTCCTCTCTTAGAACATCAGTTTCATCCTGGACGGATTCCCAATCAGTCACTAAGGCTTTATGCTTTCGCAACAGAAGTGTTCGTTCGTCCTCATCTTCCGTCTGTTTAGGGGTCTGCGATAATAAGGGCTCCAAAGCATCAGCAACGGACTTCATTCCTCGGTTAACGGCTTCCAAACGTTCATCCAAAGACATAAGAGCTTGATCAATAACTCCGGATGATGAGCTTTGAGGATCTCGAGTTGTTTGTGTTTGGTGTCGTATCTCCTGAATTTCTGGACGCGACGAACTAGGTTAGGGACAAAACGCGTATTGTCTTTGTATTACTTTCTTCCTTACCGAATATACGCGTCTGAATGTCAGATATGCTATATGAGAGCTCCGTCATGTTCGTCGAGATCGCCAAAAGGCGTAAGTCACTGAATAAAACAACACAATGAGCGCTTTATCCTCGCGTGCAGACACAGCTGATACCCACTCGATGCTACGCTGTTTCCCCTTTCCACTATCACTATCAATGTTATTACTAGATCCATTCCCATTATTGAGAGCCTTCTTCACATTGATCGTCGCGTCTTCTAACATGATATACTTTCGCGTCAACAAAATATGTCCACATAGATTGTTCTAATGAAGACGTACCTGTGTCTGAATTGGGACCCGAACTGGCCACTGATGATGACGCGATGGACTTCTGCGCATTGGACGAGACGGATGGCGGTCTCTCCCCAAAAGCAGTGGCAGTAACAGTAAGCTCTTCGGAATTATCCTTTGCGATCGATGAAGTGCTCGTCGAGCGCGACAGAGACAACTTTAGCGAAACCATCGTATGCGACGCGACGCAATGAAGGTTGACAGACTGAGAAAGACGTGAATGTTAAGGGACAAGGCGCTCGGAAGCTATTTCGAAGCGCGCGTGTAGGTTGGGTGGGTGGGATGATGATTATGCCACGGTACGGACGGACTCGAGTCGGTCGGAGGACAACAGCCGGGCCGCGTGCGGCGGGCACGACGGGCGTCTTGTGAGGACGCTGTCGTTGTTGATGACGACGATGAACAACACGCGACGACAACGAGGTGGCTGTCTATGTGAAGAGTGAGTGCTCTTGCAGGATGTCGAGGGACAAGCCGCGCCGTGACATAGCCGAATCCACTTTGCTTACTCCGCTCACTTTATTTATTGTATCTATATTGCCGTTGTCTATTGTCGACATGGATCAAGTTCGTATCAAAATAAATCTCGCTACTACTAGATTTGAACTCAGTTTTGCTGTCGTTCTTTAGGACGCTTTCCGGAAACTCTTGTCTACCTCAAAACCAGGCACTTTACAATCAAGTTCCACAGCGGCTAGAGGTTCGTTACTCCCTCCGAAAGCTAAAGATGATCAAAAGTACGCATTTCCCCGTCCCTTATTATTCTACACGCGAACTCTGAGCTTACTAGCTTACCAGGAAGCCAACAGAAAGCTCAAAGGCTGCTTTCAAACCACGAAAAATAAAGAAACAGTCTGGGTTGAATTATCGTGACAGGGCAGTGGAGAGACGAACGGGTGCAGCAGGAGACTTTGCGGAGGTACGTTGCTCATCGGTTATACTCTAGTCATTGGCATTTTCCCTTATAATCTCGTTCCAGGTTGAATCGGTGTTAGAGAACTTTGAAAAACAGCATGCAGACTACGAAGACAGAGAGGCTGTAAGACCACTTCTAACTACCGTACCACCCAAAAATTAACATACACTACTCTTGATAGGTTGAAGAACAACGCCGTTACCTAGGCGGTGACGCAGAACATACCGTCCTCGTGAAAGGCCTCGACTTTGCACTTCTCGAACAAACTAAATCTCGCATGGCCGCATCCACCTCCGCACAAGACGACGAAGAGCTCGAGGAAGCGTTTCGTGGAGCAATATCCGCTTCACCACCTCCCTTAGACCAAACTACGACGACGTCGACGTCGAATACGAAGAAGAGGACGCGAGAAGATATCGTACGCGAATTGAAGAATAAAAGAACGAAAGGTGAAGGTGATGTGAATGGTGCTGAATCGTCGACACCGTTAGCGGATAGAGCACTTGACGAAGCTAAACGAGAGGGGAAGTTCAAGCCTATTGGATTTAAACCTATCGGTGCTACGAAAGATAAGGAAGGGAAAGAGGTGAAGAAAAAGAAGAAACGAAAGGTCACGGAGAACGGAACTGGCGATAGCCAACAACGGCCTCCTGGATCTACTGTTCCTTCCTCAAGCAAGGACGATGCAAGCACTTCGAATACGAAACAAGGACCCGACAAACCCGCGTCGGAACCAACACCCGCGCCCGAACCAGAACCAGAGCCAGTGAACGAAGACTTTGACATCTTCGCTGACGCTGGCGAATACGAAGGCGTGAACTTTGACGATGACGACGACGAAGGTATCGACGACTCTAGCAAACGTGAAGTTCAACCTAGTGAAGCACGCGAAACAATTGAATCCACACCAGCCGAAGGCGAGCCTGGACCTCGAAGGAAATGGTTTGACGACGACGAACCTCCCTCTCCTCCTCCCGAAAGGCTCTTACCATCACTCAACAATCAAAAGGGCAAGTCGAAAGATCCTTCTGGTTCTCCTGAACATACTACTCCCAGAGGTCAACGCAACGAAAACGAAGAACCACACGATGATGAAGAAGCTGAGAGAATCAGCCGTCTCGCACCACTCACTTCCTCAGCAGTTCCTTCCATTCGCGATATTCTCGCGGCTGACACGGCTCGTGAAGCTGAGGAGAAGCGGAAAGCTCGGAAGGAGAAACGGAAACGCGGTGGAGGTGGAGATGGTGGAGGTGGAAGTGGTGAAAGCAAGAAAGTATCTGCTGAGGCAAAGCTTAATAGGGATTACCAGAAACTCAAGTCGTATACGGAGAAGAAAGACAAGTCGTCGTAGTAGATTATGTCTTGCTCATGTATACCTTAACTTTGTTTTTGCTATCACAAGAGTTGTGCTTTGTGCATTCCATTCTAGAGTGCGATTCTTTTTAAAGCTTGGTTGTTGGTGCTGAAAGCGGTTACTTCGACATATCCCGGCGCATATTCAGTGAGAGCAGAATACACAATAATACTCAAAATATGCAGGCTATGTGCAACACGTGCTGTTCCGATCCAAACGTCAGCGTAAGAGAGGATCCACCCGTACGAGATTTTGACAAGATAACATAACATAGTAACGATGGTATTGCAACATTATGATGATGACAGAAGCTCATTCCCTCTATTCGTCCAGCTTGCGAAGCTGAGTCGGGAGTCCATGTCATCAATTTTTCTAAATCCATTACTCGTCAACACAGCGAATCGGACACGAAATGTAGAGCCACAACGACACACCTCTTTCGCATCTCACTGCGCCATGTTATCTCCTTCAGTTCGGGAGCGTTCAACGAGGCACCAATGATACCGAGGATTAGTGATACGAGCGCCTCGGCGATAATCTGTCGTGTCGTAAATAAAGTTAGTTAGTTATCATATTCCTGTGGTAGTCACATTGAAGTCGGAATGAAATGACTCGTACATCTTGAGGCAAAGAGCCCTCCGGTCTACCGAGCGCCTTCAAATGAGAGAGATCTAAGACCTGGTGAGGGACATGTGGATTGATGTGCGATACGGTATTACTAACGTTCGTACGTGGAGAACGCAGCTGATGGGATAACGTTACTATTAGTAACAGGCCTTGACTTCGGTTGGAGACGTGTACTGACCGTGAAGTAGGGCGAGGATGGCGACGGTGAGGAGGACGCGCCCGAGCATGGTTGGTCAAAATTAATGTCAGGCGGGCGGGTGAGGGTGTACAGGTGTGCGGTGGGAAGGCGGCAAAGGGCGGAAGGAATAGAAAGTGAAAATAGGAGAGTGCCGAGCTGTTTTGAGCGCGCATGACGAAACGCGTCGAGTCGCGCAGCCGGTGCTCCGGCCAGCGTCAGCCTCTGCTACCTACAAATACCCGGTGCATCTCCATCTGCTCTTTTGTTTTCGTCTCTTGTGGCTCCCTCTCTTACTTGGGTTTCCCTCTGTTCTTGGTTTACTCTCTACAGTCCGTGTTGACGGCAATGTCTGCAGTCGCTTCCGGTCCGGCACCAAAGTACGCCTTTCTCCCTATATCATTCCGCGTTGATTTTGCTCATACTTTTCTTTTTGTTGTCCAGTGGCGCTTCTATAGATGTCAAGCCTCAGGAAAGCTTATCCGTAGAATTGCAGGAGCCCCACAAGATGCAGAGAACACGAAGTGGAGGCATCCAAATGGGCGATGGCACACTCTATGTTTCCAGACCATTTCGGACAAATGGAAATAACAAATCGCGTGCTATCATCAGTTTCGTACCACGAAATAGCACTTTCGACCCACAAAACTCGCGCAATCCAAATGAGTTTCGAGTACGTCTGCAAAAAATTTACTATGTATCATCATCAGTTGGACTGAGCTGAGCCCGGCCCACGTTTTTGATGCTATAGGGTTTCTACACACTCTTTTGGATCTCAATGTTCCTCCTCGTGATACAAAACTATGTCGTCACTATGGAGAAGAACGGCTATCCAATTGAAATGGCGTTCGCCGCAATGTTCTCCCGACATGCTTTCACACTTGCTCTCTCTGACGGCGTTTTGGTATTGAGCACTGGATTTTGTGTTCCGTTTGCTATTGCGTTGAAGAAGGGCTGGCTTAACTTTTCTCCGTGGGGTGTCGTTATTCAGCATACGTTCCAAACGCTTGTGCTAGCTGTTGCCGTAACATGGACATTCAAAAGGTAGGTATAAATATTCTTTCACGGTGTTTAAATTAAATTGAAATCGATATTCCAGGAAATGGCCTTGGGTACAATCCGGGTTCCTCACACTACACTCCCTCGTGATGATCATGAAAATGCACTCTTACATGAGCACGAACGGCTATCTACAGAATGTACATCGGAACTTCGAAAAGACGATGGCAAAGCTACGCTCAGCCACATCAAATGTCGGAGGATGGGACGTTGCAATCGTCGAGGCAGCTTCACATGTAGTAGACGAGCCAACTCCTCAATCATCTCCGGAAGACCTGGGTGCATCTCCTAGTATCACGCCGATACCAGGTGGGACACAACGAAGTTACATTGACGGAGACGTTGCTATTGCTTTGCGCAAGAAGTTGCTTTCGGTTCCGGATGAGAGGAACGAGTCTAGACATGAGAAAGTTATGCAAATTCGAAAAAAGATAGCAAATGACTTTGCTGTATTGGTGCATCATCCGAACCAGGACGTTGCTGCGCTTGCGGAAGAACTCGTAGAGATGGAAGAGGAGCTCACCAGCCAGGGGCCGGAGAAAGTGCGATGGCCGGATAATATTAGCTTGAAGTCCTTTGCGGACTATATGTTGATCCCGACGCTTGTTTACGAGTTGGAGTACCCGCGAACCGATAGGTGGATAATTCATTTCTGATCCCGTAGTTTTTCTCTTCCTGACTGGTTATTTGCAGAATTCGACCATTATATGTATTCGAGAAGACCGTGGCGACTTTCGGAACGTTTGCTTTGTTATATACCATCACAGAGAACTTCATACTCCCTCTCGTGCCGACTAGCCGAGACCAGTCGTTCTTCCGTTCTTTGCTGGACTTGGCGTTACCTTTTATGATTGCGTATTTGTTACTCTTCTATATCATCTTTGGTGAGCAACCCGAGTTAGCGTTATTTAGCTTATATGCTGATTGGGGTGTAGAGTGTGTTTGTAATGGGTTTGCTGAATTATCTCGGTAATGGTCTTGGTCACTTTTGGCTGCTTTGCTTCTGACTCGATAAATAGTTTTGCAGATAGGCAATTCTACGAAGATTGGGTGAGCTACTCATAAATTTATTATTCTTTAACTCTCTAACGAGCTTGCCCTCCGCAGTACGCTTAACTCCCTACCTACAAAACTCTGTCCGCAGCCTCCAACAAATAACTAATTAATGACTCCTACAGGTGGAACTCGACGTCATGGGATGAATTCGCGCGCAAATGGAACAGACCCGTGCATACCTTCCTATTACGACACGTCTACGCATCGTCGATAAAGAGTTACAAGCTTAGCAAGAAATCAGCTATGCTCATTACGTTCTTCTTGTCTGCGTGTTTGCATGAATTGGTTATGGCTATTGTTACTAAGAAGATTCGGTTAGTATTCATTCATTTATATTGTTCTTTGTCGGTCTTTGAGCAGATGTGCTAATGATTGTACGTTGTGAAGGATGTATCTCTTCATGCTCCAGGTAAACAAAAAATAAACCACAGCCGCTATACTCACACTGTGGACTGACCGAGAATCCTTTCTTTACAGCTCATCCAAATTCCACTAATTGCCATTGGCCGCATGCCCTTCATCAAGCGAAACCAAGTCGTGGGCAATGTCGTGTTTTGGGTTGGCCTTTATGCAGGCTTCCCACTGCTTTGTGTTGCGTATTGCGCATATTAAATTAATTGGAATGGAACGTAGGGAACAGAACGGAACACAGGGAAGAGAAGGTTCGACATCACGAAACACGAACATACATCTATTTGTCGTGCTAGGTCGGGAAAGATCATACTGGCTGATATCCAGTTGTGGGCTCGAAGAGACGAAAACGAAACACGAGCGTCTACCTATTCGGTAATTGCGAGTCGAGAAAGAAGTTTCTTGATTACGGGAAGGAGGAAAGGAGAGAAGGAAACACAGTATTAGCTGATATCTATCTTGATTAACAACTTGCATATGTGTACACACATACACGTGCACTGTATTTATGGTAGGTTTGTTTTGTTGGGAGGAGTGGGGAAATTGGATGTATATGTTTTTGAAGGAGTGTAAAATAATAGTCGTAATGTTAATAATGGAGTTGTTATTTTTTTCTTAAGTGAGGAGCCTGGCATGTCAACTTAAGAGTGAATAGACATATCTAGTAATTCTTCGCCGTAACTACAATTCACCAAGCCCAGCATATAGTGATCAGTGTAGTGTAAATTTAATCATGATCTCTGATAGTCAACCAGTAAACCTTGTTTCGGAAACTCCTGGCTTGGCAAACCTCCTTCCATTTGATGATTATTCTATGAGGAATGAAACCTGATAAGACTGCAGTGAAATGTGTAGTCGTCGGCTTGTGAAATGTACAAACGGAGTCTGAAGGTGATGCTCGTTCCCTGGCAAGCCCGTTTCCCCTTCTCATAACCACCATCACTTCTTCTCGCTGAGAGACCTTTTGGTTCTTCGCTTGTCCTGGCCACACATTATTTAATGTTTGAGCATTGAAATAAGTACAAGCCGTTTTCTTTCATGACTGCAATGTATTTTAGCTGTAGGTATGATACAAGTAACGTGACACAGCCACGTTCTTTGTGTGTTCTTGCGGACTTTGTATCGGGGTGTCAATCTGTGGCTTCTTCAGCCCAATCTGTCAAACGCACCTTCTTCAAGCCTCTGCCTTATTTCACGCGTAATTCCACAAATTCACCAAAGACACATCTTTGTTCGGTCACCTCGATTCTCAACAAGGAAGCACGTCAGTCGAACAAGCGAAATACAAAATGATTTCATAACACGTGATGCAGGCTGGAGTAATACGCCAAGCAGCCAAGCCACGACCGAGTAACAGGTTATAAGGGCCCCACTGTGTCTGGGCCTAATGCCGTTTCCCACAACGCATACCCCCACCTTGAATGGGAGACCCTTCTGTATCAATCGAGCAGCATGCATCAGTCGTGCCTCAGCCTACGACTACTACTACTTCCGTTCCTGTCGGTGCCGACGACGATGAGCCCCCTAGTCCGCATTCATCCGCTCGGACGTCTCAAGTAGAGCATAGTAATGTGGATGGAGGTCCGGTGGGCAATGATGCCGGCCAAGTGGGAAGCGTTTTGTCATTTGGACGTGAGAGGAAGAAAGAAACGACCGATCCAGAAAAGCAAGAGGAAGTTCGACCTGCAACTGAGCAAGCCCTTGTGAGCGGTGAGAGGGCAGTGCTAAGGAAAACAGGAAGACTGCGTACATTGTTTACTCCACGCCATCCTGTCGGTCCGTCACCAACGTACCGCGCATCAGCCAAAGCCACGCTCAAGTACACTCCGTTGAACATATTTCTTCTATGCGTACCCACCTCCTGGATATTACATTACACACACCAATCGCCCGTCGTTATCTTCGTCTTTGCCGGACTTGGAATACTACCTCTTGCAGCACTGCTCGGTCTCGGCACCGAACAAATTGCACTACGCACGAGCCAGAGTATTGGTGGATTGCTCAACGCGACGCTAGGAAATGTCATCGAGCTCATCGTTGCAGCTATCGCGCTTTCCCACTGCGACCTCAATCTGGTGCAGAGTTCACTTCTTGGAGGTCTCCTTAGTAATCTATTACTTGTCCTTGGCATGGCATTCGCTGCTGGAGGTTTCCGGTTCCACCAGCAGGAATTCCAGCCCATCGTCGCACAGCTTAACTTGACACTTATGACACTATCGGTTATTACGCTACTTGTGCCCGCGGCGTTTCATGAGTTCCTAAGCGAAAGGCTGCAGATGGGTGAAGAAGGGCAGATATTACTGCAACTGAGTCGAGGTACTTCGGTGATATTACTATTGATGTAAGGGCACCAATCTCGTTACCTGTGGTCGTTAACTAATTGTACCTCGTAGATACATCGCGTATCTTTTCTTCCAGTTCTATTCGCACTCCCATTTGTTTGTGGACACTGTGCAGCAACCTACCTCGCGTCGTTCCTCCGCATCTTCGTCCAGCGTGGGCACTGGCTCTATTGTCGATCCAGTGCTCCCTCCACCCGTGACTTCCAGTCTGGATCACATTGAGAAACCGCGCCTCAATGTCCCATTTGCGTTAGGTTTGCTCGTGGCTATTACAGCTCTCGCATACCTCACAGCCGAGTTCCTCGTCGACGCACTGGATGAGGTCGCAGCTTCCGCTCCCTTCTCGAAGGAATTCCTTACGTTAATCATCATCCCCATCATCTCGAATGCAGCGGAGCATACAACTGCTGTTGTCGTTGCTAGCAAAGGGAAGTTTGACCTCGCGTTGGGCGTTGCTGTTGGGAGCTGTATTCAGATCGCCTTGTTCGTTATACCGGTTTTGGTCCTCGTAGCGTGGTGCGTTGGTAAACCGCTGTCTTTAGTGTTCGACCCATTGGAAACGTTGTGTCTTTTCTTCTCTGTGCTGCTGGTCAAGTTCTCTGTTGAGGATGGGAAAGCGCATTGGATGAGTGGTGTCGTTCTAGTCGGTTAGTGTTTCTATTTTATAAATGATGAAGAGAGCTGATTTATTTTTCTAATTCTGCTTCGCACAATTTTAGCGGTTTACATCGTCATTGCACTTTCATTCTGGAACTTCCCTGATAACTTGGGTAACGATATCGGTCTCGTCTGTGCTTAGACTGATTATTTTCGTCGATTGGACTTTTCTCGATGATTGTTTTTCCTGTCTATGAATAATATAGCGTCTGTAACGCCACGCATGCGTTATTTTTACTGTACAGTGTACATGTATAACTCACGAGAAAGAATGTATATTGACATGGTTTGGAGAGCATATACTTATTGGAGCGTGTTTGTATATGTTTGGAACTTTTACTCACGTTTATTTTGTCAGAAGCAGTTCAATTTGTTTTTGCTGCGGACTCTGTCATGTCGCCATCATAATTTGGCATTTCAACATGGGTGATACTGCGAACAAGCGCCCACATCTTCCCCCTGACTGTGCAACATCGTGCATATTGTGCACTGTTGCCCATCCCAGTCCTATTTTTGTCTAATTGGCGAAAACAATCACTTTTTTTAACATCCCGAGCCTCGGGAGTCAGCCTCGCTTATTGAGCTGCGCAGTGCAGACATCCCTTAGTGAAGAGACTTCTTGAGCCGTCTGGCAATTCGCTGTGTGCAGCACAGAAGTACAAGGCAGGCCCAATTCTAGTACCACGATGTAATGTGTTTCTCTACATATTTCTGTATTTTGACTTACACACAGCTGAAACAGTGCACATTTAGAAATGGGATCAAACAGTACATCGGTTCAAGATTCTCTTGAGGTTTTTGTTGGTCCTGCTAATGTTTCGAGACATCACGATCTTGCTCTCGAACACTGGGAACGCTTCGAGCAATCGGGGGAAAGGGAAGAGCTCGAAAAGTCTATCAATCATGAACGTGCTGCCCTCAGGCTTCGTCCTGAAGGAGATCCCGATCGTTCCGAGTTGTTATATAATCTTGCGCTTTCTCTTTCGACACGATACGTTTGATGGAATAAATTGGAAGACCTAGAAGAATCCATCGACTTGGACCGAGCTGCCCTGGAGCTTCGCTCCGAAGGCCATCCCGACCGTTCCGATTCGCTGCAAAACCTTGCAGAGTCCCTTCGTACATGATACAACCGACGGGGCCATTTGGAAGATGTAGAAGAAGCCATCAAGCTCGACCGAGCTGCCTTGGAACTTCGCCCCGAAGGCCATCCCGATCGATTTATGTCTCTCAGCAACCTCGCAGCTTCCCTGTTTAGTCGATACGAGCGGCATGGTAGGCCTGAGGACCTTGAAGAATTCATCAAGTTGCAGCAAGCTCCTCTGAATCTTCATGCCAAAGACCGTCCTGAACATTCTATGTCTCTTGGCAACCTCGCGACTTCTCTGTGGACTCTGTACAAGCAGCATGGAAGGAAAGAAGACCTTGAGAAAGCCATCGAGTTGGGCTGGGCCACCCTAGAGCTTCGACACGAAGCCAATGCCGATCGTTCTATGTCCCTCACCAGTCTTGCATCTTTTCTGTGTACTCGATACCAGCAGTACGGGAAGACGAAGGATCTCGAGGAGGCCATAGAGTTGCAACGGGCTGCCCTCGAGCTTTGTCCTGAAGACCATCCTAATTATTCTATGTCTCTCAGCAACCTTGCAGAAGGTCTACGTACTCGTTATAACCAGCATCGAAGGAGTGAGGACATTGAGGAGGCCATCGAGTTGCACCGAGCCGCTCTAAAATTTCTACCCGAAGGTCATCCGAATCGTTCTATGTTTATTAGCAACCTTGCATACTCTCTACGCACTCGATACATCCAGCATCAAAGAACTGAGGACCTTGAGGAGGCCATCGAGCTGAATCGAGCTGCTCTGGAGCTTCGACCCGATGGACATCCTCTTCGTTACGCTTCTCTCAACAATCTCGCAACCTCTCTGAACATACGATACAAGCTGCACGGAAAGGCCGAGGACTTTGAGAAGTCTATCGAGCTGAAACGACTCGCGCTTGAGCTTCAGCCTGAAGGCCATCCGGAGCGTTCTTTATCCGTCATTAACCTTGCAAGTGCTCTGAGGACTCGATACCAGCAGAATGGAAGGATTGAGGACCTTGAAGAGTCCATCAAGCTGAATCGAGCAGCTCTGAAGCTTCGACCCGAAGGCCATCCCGATCGTACTAAAACATTGAGGATCCTCGCAGATTCTTTATATGCTCGGATTAAGAAACTACGAAACATGGCCGACTTTGAAGAATGCATGGAGTTACTAGGACTCGCTGCTACTCATAAATTCTCAGGTTCGTTTGATCGCCTTCTTGCTGCCCGACACTGGGCAGCACTTGCACGATTCCACGAGCACGACACTACCTATTCAGCCTATAAAGAAACGATATCGATACTTCAACACGCTCTCACCGTAAATCCAACTCTTCAAGCACAACATGACTTCCTTCTCAGGAGTAGCGAATCCAGAACGCTCGCCATGGACGCCGCTTCTTATGCTGTAGAGGAAAATCAACTGGAACAAGCGATGGAGATATTTGAGCAAGGGAGAGGCTTACTCTGGTCGCAGTTGCGCGGCTTTAGGACTCCCTTGGACAAACTTGCAGAGACAAACAAAGAACTCGCTGACGGATTCCGTGATGTCAGTGGTCGGCTGGAGAATCTTGCAACATCGCATGAATCGATAATATCTGGTTTGACCACGGATGCAAACGGATCAGTTAATCTGAGCATACAGACAGGACAGAAATCATTTGACAAGCTGCTAAAGTTAAAGAGACAACTTTCGGACGAACAAGAGGTTATTCTTAGAGAGATTCGGCGAGTTCCAGGATTCGAGAGTTTCCTCGAAGCTACGCCATTCAAGACACTGCAGCAGGCGGCTTTGGAGGGACCGGTCATCGTGATCAATCACAGCACATACCGTTCTGATGCCCTCATCGTACTCTCCCGTGACGACCCATTAGTCGCTTGCGTTCCGTTGGACGATGAATTCTATGAGGATAGCACCGATCTGTGCAACGAGCTTGTGGAATCACGCCAAAAGTTTGGCGCCGATTCGCCAAAATATGACGAGAAGCTCCGTGAAGCGATGGAGATGCTATGGGACAGAGTCCTTACTGATGTCGTGGATAAACTTACAGAACTCGGAGTCGCAAAAGGTTCTCGCATCTGGTGGTGCCCTACGTCCGTGTTGTCTGCGCTTCCGTTCCATGCAGCAGGACCATTCGAGGATGAACATGGTACTGTGAAATACTTATTGGATGATTATGTCTCGTCTTACACACCAACGCTCGGTGCTCTCGCCAATGCACGGTTAGGTGGCAATGAAGACGACCCAACAGTGCTCGTCATTGGAGATACCTCACTTCGATCGGCTAAACAAGAAATTTCCAACATTCGGAATTGTGGCATGAGCACCAAGTTACTCGTCGGTAAGAACGCCACTCATGATGGAGTGATCAAAGCCGTCCGGAAAGCGACATGGGTCCACTTTGTCTGTCATGGATCTTTAGATCCAAAGCCCTTTGGCTCTTCGTTCAATCTATCGGATCGTGGGCTAACAATGCTCGATGTTGTCCAATCAAGTCTTCCAAATGCCGAATTTGCTTTCCTTTCTGCTTGTCATACCGCTGAACAGCATCGTGACAGTGCACACGATGAAGTTCTTCACCTCGCAGCGGCGATGCAATTTTCTGGTTTCCGAAGCGTGATCGGTTCGATGTGGGAGCTGCTTGACACGGATGGGCCAGCATTTGCCAGAACCGTTTATGAATACATTAACGACTGCGAGGAGGGCGAGGCAAAGTATAAGAGGGCGGCTGGGGGCCTTCGCAAGGCGTCTTTGGCGCTGAAAGCGCGGGATGGGATTCAGGCTGAACGATGGGTCAATCTCGTACATATAGGTGCTTGAGTCATGTAATCTCTGCAACTTATATCACTATTATTGCTTATCTATTGCCTGTAACGAGCCACGACGTCAGTTTTGAAGGTCATAGCTTAACTTGTGTACAGTCCCACATCCAGTCCATAATACATATGTTAATCCCATGCTAACATATCTTAAATATATATATACCAAATAGCTTATTCCAGAGATAAACTAATCTGTTGTAAGATGCTTGTCAGTTTGGATGCAACAGAAATAATCATCCTTCTCATACTATAGTAGAAGGAATTTGCAAGTGCATATTCCTTGGCTAAAAATCACAGCTAATAAACTGTATTATAGCATGCTAATTATTTTGCAAACACTTTTTTTTGGTTTTCTTATGCTCTTCTAGGAAGTAAGGCAAAGATGTTTACAAACGGCAGTATTTCTCGTGTGTCTAACGCATCTTCTGCTCTCTCTTGTATACTAATAAGAATGCCACTGCACAAAACCTCACTCACTTACGGTCAAACATATCTCAAAGCATGCTTCTTATGTACTGTATTTGCCATACCATGAACAGCTACGACGTGGTGAAAAAAAACATGGACATGGTCAAGAACGAGGAACTGCATAAGATACATGTAATTGTAATTGTAAAAAACTTCTCTGAATCGCTGAATCGTCAGCAAAGCAACAAAACTTTCAAAAATCGATACAAGTGAAGAGCGTGAAGAACGAACGAATGGACGCGAATATAACCACGAATAAAGCCACCTCAAGAAACAGCCACCTCAACAGTACCAGCAGCAGCAGTGACGGCATTATTCTCCTTATTAGAACTACCACCATTAGAACTCAAACTCGAATTAGCCAGTCTATCCCGCGTCCCAGCCCAGCGCCATCGGTCGACCGGTATGTACACCACCTTCCCCTCTCTCTGCGTACCGTTCTCCGATAAAGATAGACGTCCGGTACTCGTAAAGGAGATACCGTTATCCAGGAACTGGAAGTCCTCTGCACCTAAATTACGGTAAAGCACGTGGGGAACGATCGTACGTTCGCTCCTATCCCGCACGTCGTTGGAGGGAAGGAGCGGTGAAGAAGCGTGTAGCGTTGCCGTCGTTGCTGGAGGAGTAGGGATTCCAACAGGTTTCGTAACAGGCAGTTCCGAAGGTGTCTCGTCAGCCACTCCCACCTTAGCTTTGCCCTCGTCCACTTTTTTGTCCGTTAGATCCAAGCTATGAGTAATCTCGAGACCCTTGTTGGCATCCCGAGGTGAACCAGGAGCACTGTTGTTGGATTTTGGTGTCATAGGTTCAACTTCAGACTTCGCAGCACAGGATCCGTTCATAACCGGTATCGTCTTCGGCGAAGCCGCGCGATTGGACATTGCAGACGACGGACGCGACGGAAGAGTATACAAGTCATATCTTCGCCCCTTGGCGCTTTTACCAAGAGCAACAAGAGCGTCTTTTCCTTCCACCATCGCAGCACTCTGACAGTTCTCCTTATCCTCGTCCGTGCCAAGACTCGAATCTTGTTGAACAAGCAAGTAACGATCCTCGCTATTTTCCAGTATAACTCCCGCGTTCCCTAATTGGCGTGGTGAAGGAGATGATCTACGACTCCGGCCAGATGTGTACTCGCCGTCCGTGTCGGCTTCGCTCTGTAATCCTAGCGCACTAGCCACACTATGTGCTCTACTGTGGTTGAGCTTGCGTCGCTTTCTCCGTCCCCGATCACGAGCTGTATCTAATTGCCGAGATGGCGAGGTAGTAGGGAACAAAATAACATTCATCGCAACCGGATCGTATTTAAAGCTGTTTAAACAAAACATTGAGTATGAACTAGGTGGGAAGACATGAACTTAAAACTTACCCAGCCGATTCTACACCGTGGTAATTGCCAAACAAAATCGTCCTAACGCCGGACATCTCTTCGTCTTCGATTAATTTGCACGAAAAGTCAAGGACATGGGAGGGTCGCTTTCCTAATACGTTCGATGACGATCGCGGAGAAGTAGCAACAGTATCAGGAGAGATCTCCTTCATGATCACCCTCCGTCGTTCCGTATATTCACGTAGACGCTGTGAACGATTCTTAAGCCCAAGCTTACGAGTCGAGCCGCGCTAAATTTCAAATCTCATCAGCATATCTTACAGCTTAGTAAAGGAGGGAAAGACAAACAGGCATCCATTCCGCACTTAAGACCTCTATACCACTTCCGTCATTTCCGCTGGTCCATGAAGCACTAGGTGTCTCTAACCAGTTTACGTCCTCCAGGCGTACATCTTCACCAATTTCTCTTGAGCTTTTCAGGTTCAGAAGTTGTTTCAAGCCCACATCCACGTCCGGTGCACCCTCGGCTGCGCCCCCATCAGCAAATGCGCTAACACCACCGATGTATCGCCCAATATCACGATACAGGGCGAGCCTGATTGAAAGGTCCAAACCTGCTTTCCGCGCACGTTGAAGACCAGGCAACGACACACGTCCGGAATGCAACGCACAAAGCGCAATGTTTGAATCATCCGTATACAAGCGTCGTGCACCCGCTGAAGAACGATTGGCAAAATTTGTATAATTTCCCCAAGGGTCTATGACTGGCAACGGTGTGCCGCCCCATATGCGTGGACGTCCATCAGTAGGGAGCGAAGAAGGAAGGTGAGTGGACGGAACAAGGATCGTAACATGAGTCGTGCGGTCTCTGTGCTCAATAACATGATCGGGCTCTTGTCGTGTACTCTTCTTGGATTGAGATTGTCCAGGGCTAATATTCGGTGCACGCCGAGAATCAGAGTTCGTGCGGGCAGGAAAGAAATAAGGGAATGGGGTATTCGGGAAGATGAAAGTACCAAGATGTACAGGCGGTTCCGCCAGAGGTTCTTGCATAGGAGGCGATGGCGCAGGCATCGGCTGAAGTGCCATTGGAACCGGAGGTGGAGGCACTTCGTTGTAGTGCATGGGAGGTGGAGGATAACCTTGATGCGGTGGGGGTACTCGGTAAGGACTTGGATGCATATGTGGATGACCTTGTGCATGCATGCTACCCGGCGATGATAAAGGATGAGGCTGAGACGGCGGAGGTAAAGACTGAGAATGAGAATGGGCATGTTGCATCTGCTGATGCGCGGACATGGGCCCGAATTGTTGAGCGTGTTGCTGTTGCGCCGCCATCATTGATGCTTGCACGTCTGGCGGGCCTTGTGGTCCAGCATTTGGGGGTGGTACTCCGGGACCTGTCGGAACAACGGAATACGGCGGCCTGTGCTTGCCTGACTGCGATGGATATTGCTGAAGGTGTGATTTACCGTGCGTCACCTCATATGCATGTGAATTTTCATGATACAACTCAGATGGTCGATGTAAATTGGTTTGAGGGGGTGACGGCTGCTTTACATTAACAGGAATTGGTTCAATGGGCTGCGGCCCGGACGCCCCCGAATGTGCAGACTGCATCTGTTGGTGCTGCGAGCCATGCGGATGCGACGACGGGGCTAGCGAAAGCGTCTCCGTACGCATCACAACACCGGATGCACCCGCGAATATGAGATCCGAAGATGAAGGCGGCACATTGCTCTGGACAGTTACACCAGGCGGGGCAAGCTTCAGCACACCACTGCGACTTATTCGCGGTTTGCCCGTGTGGGCGTAAGTGTATGGGGTTCCGGGAACATGTGGTAATTGCTGCTGTTGCTGTTGCGCCTGTTGTTGCGCCTGTTGAAGGTGATGCTGATGCTGCGGATGCATGTTATGGCCTGGGTGAGAGTGCGAATGCGAGAAAGCATGATGATGGTGATGATGGTGGTGATGGCGAAGCGCGTCCCGCTCTCTAACGTCGCGCGGCTGGCCCTGCATACGCGTATTCGCTACAGCACGTATCGCCTCCATGTCTCTCATTTTCTCGACATCACCCATTTCCCTCCCACGGTCAATCATTCTGTCATCGATAGCACTGGGTGGACTCGGGTGCGCCCCAGCACTTGCAGACCGACTGCTTGTATGGCGTTGGAGCTCTCTTCCACGGTGCTCCCTGTCCCGTTCACGCAGCTCTCGTTCTCGCTCTCTTTCCCTTTCACGCTGCTCGCGTTCCCGTTCGAGGCTCTCGCGCTCGATGTCCTCTTTGAGCGTGCGGCCCGTGTTCATGCCAGATGACGACGACGACGGCGCTCGGGCCTGTGGCAAAAGAGAAAAGCGTGATTGATGGTCAGTACAATTCGATCAAAAAACGTGACGACGATCACCCGGCTGTGTCCGGGCTCTCGGCCCGCCTACAGCTGGTGACGTAACGGAGGAATGAGACGCACCGGATACGGAAGCTCATCGACTGGCTGCCGGCTCATCGCCGAGGGCGTCGGCGCCCCGTTGCTGTCGTGTGAATAGCCCCGCGAAGCGCTTGGCGGGGGAGGTAGCGCTGCTCCCGCCGGTAGTGGTGGCGCTCGACGCGACAACGGCGGGCCCTGCGCCGAATGCGAGCTATGGATTGATGCATTGCTATTATTGCGCGAGCCTGGGTGCGGGAGCGAGAAATGTTGCTGTGCGTGCGATTGCGCGGCAGGCGGGACTACGGAATACGACCCCTGAGCAGGTGAATGCTGTCTGTGGCCCAATCGCGCAGTGGTCGGCGATGTACGACCCACGTCGCGAGGGTCGCCATATGGAGGTGGTGTGCGTGGCCGACCCGATCCAGACAAGGACCGAGTTCTGTGTAGTTCGTATTCCCGCTCCCGGTCCCTATCGCGGTCGCGTTGCGAGAACATCGGCGGCGTCTTTCCGTGTGTCTGTCGTGACGTATTCTTAGCTCGATGAGGATAGTCCGCCGGGTGCTCGGGTGAAGCACTGCTGGGCGCCATGCCCGGCACGGGACCTGCCGCAGTGGCTTCACGAGGTGCAGTGAGCGGAGACAAGAACGACGGCGCAGATGGCGGAGGCGGTGAATGAAGCTGAGAGTGCATGGATGATGCATGTCGTCCTTCTTGACTGTACGAGCGAGGATGCACCGAGTCTGACCGGGGCGAGCGAGAGTAGACATTGTTATTTTGGTTTTGGTTCGAGGCTGAGCGGGACGGATGGGGCGCAAGCGTCGGACCGCCATCATACTCGTGAATGCCTGGCCGAGGCGGCGGATCAATAGAAGGATAGGAACGATGAGTTGGCGGATGTGCGGCCGAAGAGGATGACAGAGAATTCCTGTCTCTTTGCGCTCTCTCACTAGCACTCTCCCGACTCCAGTCACGATTTGCCTCCCTTTCTCTATCCCATTCACGCTGCTCTCTCTCCCGTTCTCGATCTGCATCCCTCTCTCTGTCTCTGTCCCATCCACGATCTCGTTCGAGCGTCTGCTCCCGCTCCCTATCCCTGTCGAGTTTCTCCCTCAACTCCTGTCTCTGCCGATGGTCGTCAGAGGGCGAGTCCTGAAGAAGCCTCGCGACGTTCATGGATATGCTTTAAATAGATGAGCGCCTGCAGGAGAGCAGCGGCAGTGGATGTAGGGGAGGATAGCGAGGCTGGTGATGCTGCCTGGACGGGGCGGTTGTTTGTGTGTGGGGAGAGGACGGGTGCGAAGGGAAGATGGCGAGAAGTTGGAAGAGAGTAAATTGACAGCGATCAGTCGAAAGGATGAGAGACCCGATCGAATCTCGCGGGCCTCAGAGAAGCACGTGGCGCCCTTAGCCGCGTTCGCCTGTTTTGCCCCTCGCTCCCCGTTCAGGGCACATCCCACTATCCTTCCGTCATTATCTAACCCTTCCCATCCATTCGCTCATCCAAGGCGTCTCTATTTTCGTTCATTGCATCACAATGGCTCTGCGATAAAGGTTTGCGCGAGATATAGCTCGCCTTGTGTGCACAGCGTGGGGCGTGATTCTGTGCTCTGAAACTGTGCTTCTGGAGTGCGTATAACCATATATGCACACGGTGCTATCCGGAATCGGCCCCTCTGCGAAATGATCTTCCCTCGGACGTTTGGCTTTTGGGATGCCTATTAGAATCCAGATCCCGGCGTCTATCATTTACGTCTTACACGCGTAATCAATCTTTCCTTATTTGGCCGTCAGATGCCGCTCACATGAATAGAAAATCACGGAAATAATATAAAAACGCCAGTGCAAATAAGATATCTCTAAGAAAGTACCAAGTACAAAGCTGCAATTATCAAGTACATATAAGCGTTCAATCACGCTCCGCGGTCCATGTCAGTCTATAATACTCAGCTCGCGTTTCCTATGCGCAGCAAACGCGTCCTTGTATGCGTCCCATATTCTGTACAGATACGAAACAGTCAGTCCAAGTCATAGTCCATAACTGCTTCCACATACCGGTAGAGCTCTTCAATGTAGAGCTTTTGCACAGCATGAATCTGCTCTAGTGTCGGCTTCTCAGTTTTCTCCACGTTAATTGGTCGACCAACTGAACATATATTAGCATTGTTCAGTAGCATATAGCAGATACGATACTCACTAACGGAAACAATCCTCCGACGGTATGGCATTAGTCCCAAGTTGTCTTTGTTACGAAATGAATTCCAGTATCAATAGTATGCTTGTATAATCCACTTACAATTGAGCATTCCTCGTCCGTGGAACAGCGGTAACGTAAAGCCGAACATTGCCTGGAACCGCTTTTGCAGGGTATACAGCAATGTTCCTCGCTCATTAGGCATCTGCTCAAAAATCTTAAAATGTACGGGTTAGCATTAGAACAGATATTCTAGTAATGCGACTTGCATCGTTCTCCCCAAAGGAAAACACCGGTACCAGGTCTGCACCATACTTGATCGCCAGTTTAATGAATCCCAACCGTCGCCTGAGCGTCAAGTCCGCCGTCCCAGGATGTGCATTCAAGCTTTCCGCAGCACCACCCACAACGATACAAATCGCGCTCCCGTTCCCCTTTCTTAAAATATTCTCGCACGAAGCCCGCGAGACACTGCATACACCCAGTGCAAGCAAGATATCCCTGTACAAAGGCATATGGAAATTGGACGCCAACGTCAGTAAATGCGGTCGGATTCCTGGAAACGCTTTTGAGAATCCTGTGCTTTCGGTTGCGAACGTCGCTAGTGCGCCCCTGTGTATATTGGTTAATGATTGCATAAATATTATGAGAAGGTGCGTACATTCCAATTATACCTAAAGAATTGCTGAGTAAATGCGCACAATATAGACATGAACTACTCACCATGCGGATGGTATCCGAACACGTATGGTCTATCGGCAGGCAAATCGTGTTCCTTCACAGGCAATTAATCTCATAATCCTTCATATTAGACAATATTCTGCTCCTACTTTAAGCATCCTAGAATACCACCAGAAGTGGTTTTAGCAAGGATACTGAAATCGAGATTTGATGAGTACTCACGAAGCTGGATAATACTCCGCAAAGTATGTCCAAAATCGCATACTCCGGAACCAATGACTTGAGCGTCCACCGTTTTCAGGGCTCGAATCGACGAAGTACACCCAAATCATATAAAATGCAGCGACAGGCCAAAACGGCGGGAAAGCGCTGAGCCACCCAACCGATGAGACGAGTCAAGTAGCGAGATAACGAAGGACGAAGCTCTCAGTATTAAGTGTCCACAAGGTAGAGTAATGAAGGCACATACCAAGCAAAGAAAAAGATACTCAGCATAATGGGCATGAGCAATTCCCAGAACGAGACGGCGAGTGTTTGGAGGCGGCGCACGCGCGGCACAGCGGCAGGAACGAAACTGTGGACACACCATGTAAACAAGAAGTTAGGAAAGAGACTTCCTTCTCTCTCCCACATAGCGGGACGTAATGAGAAGGAAACAAAAAGGGTACGCACTCGACTTTGGGGATCACACCAACGGCGCGTTCATGCGCACTCTGACGAAGTTGTGAGAGGCGTTCCTTCAACTGCGCCGAGCCAGACACCGTCAAGCTCTGAAACGATGAAAAAGACGCCGACAGTGCACTCGAAGCTCCCGACCTCGGCCCTGGACTTGAGCATTGACTTTGCGTTCCATGTCCGTCTGGACTCTGACTATGGCTTTTGGGGTGCTCGTTAGAAACGGAGACGGAGAGTGACGCGGACACCTTTCGGCGTTGGGTGAGGGTATACTCCGTTTCTGCCATCGTAGACAGGCCTGAGGTGGACATGAGCAGCACCTTAGGAGCGCCAGTGCATGCAGTCGAGGACGAGAGGAGAAGAGGGTGGACAGGCTGAATCGGTACGCGATCCTTGCCAAGGTTCGAGGCTCAGTCGCGTTCAGTTCAGAGTTTGGGTGACGCAAACGCGCGCCATATTCCGGCCTCGTGTATCTGGCTACCCGGATGCCGGAGCGAAAATTAGCCAATCAAATCTCATGCACTCGACTCCAGCGCTTCATCACTTCGAAAAGATAGAACACGAAACAATAAATGGCTATTTTGCACAAAACTACGGTCTACATAATACCGTTAATTGCAGAACAAAAATATGGAAAAACATGCAGAACAGTGGGCTTGGTCAAGATGGCTACCAACACGCAACATTCTTATGCATACAGATCGTCATCTTGCGCGTCCTCCCCGAATGCAGCATTTCCGCTGCTCGCTGCCGCACCGCCGGTAGCTGAAGGTTCTCCTTCGGGGAATCGGAACGACGTTCCGAACGAGCGCGATTGCTGTAAATTCTGTACAAATACGTCAGCAACGTAGCTTCGAATTATACACCCAAGGAAACTGAAGCTTTACCTGTGCGAACATCTCATACCGTCGGATGTCCTGGTCGGACACGGAGCGACGAGCATATTTCATCGCCTCTTCAAAGTGTTCACGGGTGATTTCGGGCACTGGATCTGCTTCTTCAACGTCCTCCATATCGCCATCACCCGATTCCTTCTTTTCGCGGGCGCGGCGGATATCCTCTTCAATTGATTGGCGAATCGCGAGTTTGGCTGCACGCTGGCAGATTTCCGTCAAATCAGCTCCAGAGAAGCCATGCGTACTCTTTGCAAGATATGTAAGATCGACGTCCTTCGCCACAGGCGACTTCCTCAGGGCTGCACGAAGGATATCAAGACGTCCAGCTTCGTCGGGCAGAGGAATATAAATGAGTTGGTCAAGACGTCCAGGACGAAGTAATGCTGGGTCAATTTGATCTGGCCTGTTGGTCGCACCAATGATGAATACGTTCTTCTTTGCATTCATGCCGTCCATCTCGGTCAACAGCTGGTTCAAAACACGGTCTCCAGCGCCACCCGCGTCTCCGCCTGCGCTTGCGCCTCGCGCTTTTGCAATGGAATCCAACTCATCGAAAAACATCACGCAGGGCGCAGCAGCACGGGCCTTGTCAAACACATCCCGCACGTTGGCTTCGGATTCACCAAACCACATGGTAAGCAATTCAGGACCCTAGTATAGAATATCAGTAAGAAAAAGATGAGTGTATGCCTTAGAAAACTAACCTTAATCGAAATGAAGTTTGCCTGACACTCGTTCGCAATAGCTTTGGCAAGCAGTGTTTTACCAGTACCCGGAGGACCGTAGAACAACACACCCTTTGATGGCGACATACCGTACTTGATAAATTTGTCGGGGTGTTCGACCGGATATTGAACCGTCTCTTGCAACTCCTGCTTAACTTTGCCAAGACCACCGATATCGTCCCACTTGACGGTCGGTACTTCGACGACGGTCTCGCGAAGTGCCGATGGGTTGGACGAACCCAGCGCGAATCGGAAGTTTTCCATCGTTACACCGAGAGCATCCAAAACCTCTGCGTCGATAGTGTCTTCATCAAGGTCGATGAGGTCCATCTTTTCGCGAATCTGCTGCATGGCAGCCTCCGAACAAAGAGCCGCAATGTCAGAGCCGACATAACCGTGCGTTTCGGCAGCAATCTTTAGATACTATTAGGTAGCTGTTGATTAGAGCGGTGATAAAACACTCGCACCTGTTCAAGGTCCACATCATCGGCTAACTTCATGTTCTTCGTGTGAATACGAAGAATCTCAAGACGGCCGGTTGGGTCAGGAATACCGATATCGACTTCGCGATCGAAGCGTCCGAAACGGCGAAGCGCGGGGTCAATTGAGTTCGGGCGGTTTGTTGCCGCCATAACCACGACATTTGAACGCGCCTTTAATCCATCCATGAGTGTGAGGAGCTGTGAGACGACTCGGCGTTCGACCTCGCCATTGGTCTTTACAAATAGAACTTAGCTCCTAATGAGAAGTATATAAAATAATAACACAAACTTACCTTCTCTCGCTTTGGCGCAATGGAGTCGATTTCATCAATGAAAATAATCGCGGGTGAGTTTTTCTCGGCCTCTTCGAAGGCTTTACGAAGATTGCTTTCGGATTCGCCGGCCATTTTGCTCATTATTTCCGGACCGTTAATCAAGAAGAAAAACGCGCCTGTCTCATTCGCCACCGCACGCGCCATGAGCGTTTTACCAGTACCGGGAGGTCCGTACATGAGAATCCCTCGAGGTGGCTTGATACCGATGGATTTGAATAATTGAGGATGGCGGAGGGGCAACTCCACAAGTTCACGGATTTGCGCCATCTGTTTCCTGCAGCCACCAATATCATCGTATCCAACATCATTCAGGTTGGCCTCTTCCTCCTCACGTTTCACTGGATCACCTTCTGCAGTAAAGTGTAAACTTGAGAAACTGGGAATGCTATAAGCAAGTATACTTACCTGTATGAATTACGGTATCTTGAGCGACAATACAGTATTCGGCCGGGTCGGTCTCAATGACCTTGAACTCGACTTCACGCATTCCACCACGGACCTTGAAGGTGTCACCTTTACGCACAGGTCGATAAGCTTCAAGGAAGTAGGGCTTCAGGAAGACCTCAAAGAGGTTACCGCTGAGGCCCTCAATTGAGTCGTCGAACGGGAGGATATGGACTCGCTTCCCATATTGAATATCGGGTAATGGGGATACGTGGACAAGATCGGCCAGCTTCACGCGTAAATTGTTACGGGCGACCTTATTCATTTGTATCTTGCCTTCTTCAACGGAGCCATCTTCACTCGCCAGGCAAATCAACACCGTGTCTCTTCGCTTCTTTCCGCTATGTGTTTTGTTGGAGAATGTGGTAGATACAAGTGCTAATAAAACTTACCGGACGAGAACCGTGTCGCCACGGAACAGTTGAAGTTTCTCCATAGTGTTGGGATGAAGAGTACAGACTAAATACACAGCGGTCAACCTGCGAAACCCGGTAGCAACGCCATGCATCCCTACCTGAGTTATCATCATTTGTCGTGTCATCAACAAGCAAGCGGTTTGGTCTGAGAGGAGTGGAATCAGAACGCGTATAGAGACGTTCATTACACCAAATACGTACGATTTCTTCGGCCTCAGGATTGCGGTCGAGGTATCGTCAGGTCCGGGCTGGGGAGGGGCACCACTGGGATCAGCCATGGTAGTCGTAAAATCTATCTATCAAAAGGTGTAGAGTGGTGGGGGAGAGTGTGCAAGACCTGACTGCGAGCGCGGCTTATAAGTGTCTGGTCAAGGGGCGACGCGCGTCCCAAGTGGACGTGACTGCAAAGATTTGCATACCTGAATATGGAAGCTCTGACTAATCCACAAACGTGGCGTATTGTTCACTATTCCAAGGCCTTCTATGGCCTCCCAAAAAAATTCAAATTACACTGATAAGTATAATTGTTATTAGGCTTTCATGATGTGTTGTATCGCATCGCCAATTTTCAGTACCAAGTTGTCGTGGCCCCATTGTCCCACTATGCTCACGCCTACCGGCCAACCGTCTTCCGCTACTCCAGCGGGAACAGATAATGCAGGCAATCCGGCAAGTGAGGCCGGAACAGTAAGCACGTCCTGGACGTACGCTTCAAGCCTGTCCATCTCTTTGGTTTCTGCGAGCGTTGGTGCAGTCCTCACAGCGGAGGGATGTAACAATACGTCCACTCTCGGAGAGTTCGCTCTACCCAGATCGCCACGACTGTGGCGAATCGGGGCAAGTGGATTTGGGGAGCGGAAGACGCGGTCGAAGTCAGCTTTGACCAGGTTTCGGACAGCTTGTGCTTGCAGAAAGTAATTGTCGAATGCACTGTGGGATATCAGTTGTGCATCCAAGAAAATGAATCACGTCCACACTCACTCTGCGGTAAGAGCATACGTCCCAAGGAGTATGCGCTTTTGCACTTCATGGCCAAAGCCTTCTGAGCGACTGTAAGAATATACATCTGAGATTCTTCTCTTATCTGCTTCTGGTGGTGGTGCAATACGTAGTCCTACGCCTCAAATCAATAATCGCATCGATGTGTTGGCCTAAGAATAGATGCTGACCATAATGGATACCAGAATACCTTGCTAGATTGCTACTCGCCTCGGCGCTCGCGATCACGTAGTACGCACTTAGTGCGAATGGCGTTGAAGGAAGTGATACTGGGACAACTTTCGCACCGATAGCGGACTTCAGGCGTGCTATCACATGCCGTAATGGCGTTATTGCTGACTCGTCAAGCTCTTCAGGAAAGTATTCCTGAGGTATGCCAATAACCAGATCGCCCAGATCATCCTTCGCTGATATTCGCTCTTCCGAAAGCTGGGATTCTTTCCTCCGAACTTCTTCACTAGCGGAAGTGGGGTCCTTTGGATCGAATTTTGAGAGCACATCTAGTCGGACGTGCTCAGTTTGATCTTTGTCGGAGTGCGTACATAAAAGCTCACCGAATGCAAGCTGAACATCTTCCACGTCCTTTGATAGGATCCCGACACAATCTAGACTATCTGCATATGACACAACACCCCATCTGTACTGACATTCAGTAAACTTTGTTGTTGGAGTCAAAAGTGGGTTACCTGCTAATAAGACCATAAGAGGGTTTGAAGCCCGATACTCCACAATACGCAGCAGGGAGACGTACTGATCCACCCGTATCTGTACCAATAGCTCTAAAAACGAAGTGACGTTAGCATTGCTAGTACCAGAATCAGAATCCCGATGCAAAACACTCACATATGACATGTTCCTGAGGCAACGGCTGCAGCACTTCCTCCAGAGCTTCCACCAGCGGATCGGCGCTCCTGTCCACGAAGCTCGGCAGAGTGATATGGATTTACTACCGGTCCATGAATAGAATGGACGTTAAATGAACTAGTCGACATCAATGCGTTAGAATCAGACGTCTAATAAGGTATTAAAAAAAGCAAACTTACCCCATACCAAACTCATCGCAGTTTGTCTTACCGACAATACGAGCACCCGCTCCATGCAATAGTCCAACCACGGTCGCGTCATACGGAGGTCTGAAATCTGATGGGCTCGATTGCTGAGTTGCTTGACAAAAATTAATCAAACACACCTTGAAGCATAGCAGATGAGCAAGTCGTCTTGAATTGCTTCGTGCATATATTATCTTTCACTGCAACAGAAACACCACGAAGCGGCGCGGTACATTTTGGTTCGCTATCTGATAGTGCTAAACAACACCTGAGTATGGCAAGCTGGGAGGGAGAACTCATGACATACAGTTATCGTAGGAGACAAAGGCGTTTACCCATCCTTCAGGTAGTTTGGCTGACGGTGCAAGATTTGAATAACATGATTGACGAGTATGTCGTGAACGGTTTGAATGTAGAAATACGCTCAATGCACGAAACGTTGAGCGTAGACGAGTGCTCGTCATGTTTAAGCGTAACTGATACCGCGTCGGATCCTCAAAACCTCAAACTCAGGACATGTGCACGTGCTCGTTCCATCTGCGTCGATCCGCATACAAAACTAGGGACTGGCGCGGATAGCTCTAACCGCGGATCCGCACCGCGGTTAAGATTCTCGCGGATATGCTAACCGCGGTTAAGATTCCCACGGCTACCGCAGATTTCGCGGTAGCCGCATTATTGTAGTAGAAAAAAAATAAACCAACTACTTTCATTCATTCTGTTAATTCAACTACACAAAAAGTCAAAAAAAATGTCTCAAATCAATTCACCAACATCTCCTCACTCTCATTTCATCCAAAATTACAATATGTCTTGAGTGCCAGTTGGCATCATTTCATCACCCACACTGGCATCATTCATAGATGCTGCAGCTGCTTCTATCACGGGAGAAGCTCTGCCTGTACAGCTTTCCACACCAAAAACCTGGAGAAGAGTGAAGACTTCTATATATGATCAGACGGATGATCAAGTTTGGGTTTTAAGTGATGAAGAGATTATTGGTGCATTATATACTTTATTTACCCAAGTATCACTGCTAATTATACTGTATTGAAGCTGCCAGTAGAGACAAATGGAAGTCACCAGTGTATGACCATTACAATGTCTCTGTGCACTGGTTTGATCAGGCAGGCTTAAAGAAACTCTCCTTCATCAAATGACTGTTGGATCTTGGAATGATACCCTACTTTTTTCTAATATTAATGATGCTTTTTCAATTCTTGAAGCTAAAACATCTCAAACTACCAGTTCTTAAGTATATTTTCAATTACTTGCATTAATTTTTCAATTATTTATATTTTTTCTTTGTATATTTTAATGTTGTTATACCCATACTAATTAGTGGAGTTAATAGTACATATTGATTGACATGTAACTACAAAAAGTGTGATAAGAAAATTAAAAGAGCAAAACTTACACCAGTATCGAGTGAAGGTTTGCTTAACCGCGGCTACTGCGGTAGCCGTGGGAATTTTAGCCGCGGATAAGCTTATCCGCGGTTGTTGTTGCGGTCAACGGTGACGGATGCCGCGCCAGTCCCTATACAAAACTTTTTCGCGACGAGCACTCAGGACTTCATTCCGCCTGGATACTTAAACTCCCGGATTCGCCATGGGTCACGCAGAAAATGAGGAAAGAGCTTCAAAGAAGGCAAAGTCTGCCAACCTCCCGCTCAAATCTGCTTTGAAGAAACCCAAACCGACACATCCAACGAAGCACGCTGAAGAGAAACATGACGTTCAAGAACCTATCTTATCTCAACCTAGACGGTCGCCTATAAATGAGAACTTGGCGAAGAAGACGAAAGCGGTTCGAAGGGCCCCTACACCTCCCCTTACTAAAACTAAAGCGAAAGTAGACAAGGGAAAGGCGAAAGCTGCAGTAGCGCCAGAACCAAAAATCTATCCATCGACATTTAAAGTCGTCGTTGGCACTTATGAAAAACTATTATACGGCTTGGAGGGCTCGTTTGTAGGAGAAGACGATACTGCTTTGGAAAGACCTTCGTTGAAACCCATCTTCATCTTTCCTGCGCATATTGCTTGTGTTAAAGCTGTTGCTGCATCTCCCGATGGCGGTAAATGGCTCGCGACTGGAAGTACGGACGAGATCATAAAAGTCTGGGATTTACGGAGACGAAAAGAAATTGGTGGACTCATCCAACATGAAGGTAAGTTCTGCAGTAGTTCATTCCTCCGAGTAATTGTGTTGATCTCGTACTGTAGGCTCAATCACCTATCTCGGTTTCCCGACCCGTTCGCATCTCGTGAGTGCCTCTGAGGATGGCACTCTTTGCATCTTCCGTGCACGAGATTGGGTTCTTCTGCGTTCCATGAAGGGTCATAAAGGTCGCGTGAACTGCGTAGCAGTGCATCCTTCTGGAAAAGTTGGGCTTAGCGTTGGTAAAGATCGTACTCTCCGGATGTGGGACCTGATGCGTGGAAAGGGGAGTGCAAGCACCAAACTTGGCAAAGGTTCGTCTTAGTTTTTTAACGTTTTGTAGCATCGGTTGACCGTAGTAAAAATTAGAGGGAGAACTCGTGCGATGGTCAACTAACGGAGATCGATTCGTTGTACAATCTAGTTCAACAATCGACATCTACTCTGTTGTATGTTCGACTGTCTCACCTTGTACATATCATCCGTAATAACTTCCATTTTCAGGAGATGGTATTGTTGCACACGTTCACCCACCCTAAACGTGTGCAGGATGTACGCTTCTATCGATCCACCTCGGGGAAAGAATACCTCCTAGTAGCGGCAGAGGATAAGAAAGTAACATTCTACAATACGACAAGTACGGACAGTACATCGCTACCTATCGTTGCTGAAGCAATAGGGCACCAAAATCGGTATGCTATTTCTTCCTTTCTTCTATTTCGTCTAATTCGTCTAACCTCGATGGACGACGTTTTTAGTGTCAAAGCAATTGCCATTCTCGGCGTTGCGACCCCGCATACAGCCCCAGAACGGCCTTGGACGACAATCATGTGCACTGCCTCATCCGACGGCTGGATACGGATATTTGACCTGATTGACCTTGATTCATTGGACGGCACCGAGACTGGAAAGGACGTTAAGTCCTTAAATGCGATTGCTGAATACGATACGAAGGGCAGTCGGCTCACGTGCTGTACACTTGCGGATGGTGAAATACCCGTCTCAGGGGTAACGGGGAAGCGGAAGCATGGAGAGGATGAGGATAGTGATGACGACACCAAAAAAGCAAATGAAGGGCTAGATGTTGAAGAGGAACATGTGGATGACGCTTCGGACGAGGATGAAGACGAGGAGGACGCTGAAAATGAAAAGAGCTAGATGCCCATGGAAAAGTACCGTATGCATGCAATGTTATTTATGTTACAGTTGCCATTATATCATGTACAAAATTAATACTACATGAAATCTATTGCTCGCTTACGACCTCTAGGCGGGCCTGCTGCACCTCCATCTTCCGCATCCGCATTGCTAGCAATATCAAAAGCAGGAACAGTAACATTCTGCACCACCTCAGGTGGAGGCTTCTCCACCCACATGCCCTCATCCTCCTCATCGTCTTGTAATCCAATTTCTACTTTCTTCTCGCGCTTCTTTTTCTTCCTCTTCTTTTCTGACTCTCGGTCCCGACTCCGCTCTCGAACACCCTCGCCACCCTCTTCCTCGACTTCGAATGATACCAGTGACGTTTTAGACTTTTTCTTCTTCCGTTCTCGGTCCTTGTCTTTATCCCTATCTTTCCCTTCGTGTTTCTTCTCTTTGTCCTTCCCCTTTGCGCGGTCTGAACGCGGTACGAACGTTGGTTTAAAGGCGGTCATGTCAACCTTACCAGCTGCATTGTTGTAATCGACGGGTTCTGCAGATGAAGAGGGCGCCGTGTCTCCTGACGGTTTCTCGTTCATATTAGGAGGCTCGTTATTACTGGTTCCATTAACGTTTCCATTGGCACTCGGGGTCTTCCCATCAGGTTTGGATTCATTGTCATCACTGGCGTCACCTCGATCTTCTTCTCCCTCATCATCGCTTGCGAAGATTGCCTTGAAGATATCCATGTCAGGACGCTCATACGTCAGTATGTCACGGCCTTGCGTTTCGTCTTCGTCTCCTAATCCAATATTTGATAAATCGCGGCTACCACCTGCGCGGGTGGCCTTCGACGGTCCAGGCTTAGATTCACCATCGTTCTCACCGATTTTCGTTGCACCCGCGAGACCTGCCTCTGTACCATCTGTAATTGCAAGTACGCCGCCGGTTTGCCAATTCGACGATTCTGTTGTCTTCGTCGGTTCAGAGTGTAGCTCGACTTCAGGCTCCTTTACACCGAAGCGCTTGCATAATAATCGTGCTGGAACCCACGGCTTGACCTCTCTCGTTAGCGGACCAAACATACCCAGTCGAGCAGCATTCTCTTTCGGGCTCTCTTCCTTCTCCGGTTCCTTTTCCTTTTCATCTTCACCAGGTGTAGAAAAGTATGAACCTCCTTCCTCTGGGCGATGCAGGCCTTCAGTGGCTTTTGAACCAACCTCCACAACTGCCGCTCGCGTAAAACGACCAGCCATCGCACCGCTCACGGGCTTGAAAATCTGCGCACTGCGTGCATAATCTTCAAGCTCGCGTGCAAAGGCATCAGCCGCCTGACCCGGCATACGCGAAAACGGCACGCTGTCTTCACCTGCAGCTTGCGCTTTTAGGTAAGCAGTATATCTCGTCTGTTTGACTGGATCATTGGTGAATGGTTGGAAACCTTGCAAGGCCATCTTCGCGACCTGGGCATCGAGACGAGGGATAGATGGTTCAGGTTCCGGTATTGTTGGACCAGGCTCTGGTTCTGAGTCGGCGGGTGCTGGTGCACCTGGCTTGGTACGGCTGGTAGTCAGATTCTTGAGACGTTCCCGGTCTTTCGGAGCTAGATAGTCGAAGACTGAACGGGGAGCTGCTGGGAGAGTGGTTTCTCCCAAAAGACTGCCTCGCTACATAGTTTGATTTTAATAAATGTAGTTGGGAGGTATAATGAAGCTGATCAGATTACCTGATTCGCGGACATTATGGCACGGCGTCCACCATAGCTATCTCCAGTTGGTACTTGTTTCGCACTGTCTTGAATTAATGAACCTTCTTTGAAATTTTCCTTGTCCTGCTCCCAAACTCGTCGAGGATCGGGTGACCACTCTTTTGGCACAACCGGTGGAGGGAACCTAAGTCACTATCAGCCAAGAAAACCCTGGTAAGAACATGATCATCTCACAAGTTTTCCTCGGTTATCGGTTTCTTGGCGACGACAAAGCCGTGCACACATGGTAAGCCATTATTGAATGTGGTCCTCCCCAATATGCTCAACGATGCCCCGGAAGTCTGTGATGAGGGCTAACTGAAGCAATGAGCGATTAACCACATGTAGGATCCAACACCTTACCCGCATGACCTTTGATAGACCACCTATTGCAATGCGCTCATCATCATCATCGGCGTCATAAGCAAGCTTCCGGCCAGATTGAACAAATCCACGGTCGTAGACATCAAGGTCATCGTCGTCAGCATCATTTAAAGCACCAAGACCGAATCCCGCTGAAGAAAGGTACATGAGAAAAAAAGCCTTCGTCTATGATTACGCAACAAACCGCTGATATCTGGCCCCTGCATTGGCTTCTTGTTGCCCTTGCCTCCCGCCTCAGAGGCGACTATATCGGATAGTCCCATTCCAGGCTCATATCCAAGGCCGTGTTTATTATCCTTGCGCTTGAATACCGGAACCCTTGTATCTCGTGGTGGGTAAAGGTGTTTCTTCGCTTCTTCGTGGTCTTCAACGTCTTGCAAGTCTTCTCCAGAACCAGCGGGGGCATGAGAGAGAGCATCTTGACGCTTTCGATGTTCGTAGGATATCTTGGGTCCGATACCATGCCCGACTCGCCATCCCATCTTCTTGAGAATCTGTGCACCAACGGAGTCTCGCGGTGCGGGAAGCAGGGCCGCTTCAAGCGCACTGGTGATAGAGCTGCGAATGGTAGTCAGCGCTTGCATAACTCCGATGCTTGAATGTACTTACTCTTTCTCCTCAGTAGCTTCACCAGCTTTTCTCCTTTCCCAAAAGTTCAAGTCCATCTCTTCCGTAGTATCGACTAGCTTTTGGCTATCGCGAAGTTCAGTCAGATCTTCCTCGTCCATGAAGTCTTCAGGTCGAGCAGCTTTTGCTTTCGCCCTCTCCGTTCGCGATGACCTGAACTCCGACGGAGCCCATCCTGATATGATCATGCAACCATATGAGAATAATTGAATTTAACCGGATAAAGAGGTCTTACCCTCTTTTGAGCCGACTGTGTTGAAATACCCAGCAGAGAAACCACCCGTGAAAGCGCCATGTAAGCGCCTGCGACCCTTCTCATCTCGCACCTAATGTAATGTTAGGTAATTGGTAACACGACTGTGTCGAGTGTACGTTCCTCTTGTTTCCACACCGGAACAAATTCCCCAGTGTCTTTCGATTTCTCAAGTGGCGGAAGCGGCGTTCCGATCTGAATGGAGAGTGAGTTGTAATCAGGAAATGAAAACATATGAACGCACAAGGCAGAAGTTCTCCGTTGCCTTTGAGCTGCCCGTATCGACTCCCAGGTCGTTGAGCTTGCGCTTGAGCCTGCCTGTCATCCTAATATATATGAGAAATAGAGGACTTGTGCAAGTTCTTACTTAGTTGTGAGATGGAGATGTATTCATCATCACGTGGACACTGAAATACGCCAATGATGCGTGAGAAAATCGCGTGACGCGCGTTACTGCGACGCGTCTGTGTCATTCGCGTCTCATCGTTTGCGACACATCTGAGTAACCATTTGCTTAGCAGTGGTCTCTGTATTCTGCCAGCGATGACTCTTACCGACAAGGAAAACCGACCTGCGATTGGGCGAGTTGACGTCAGCTGCCTTGCTACTAGCAGCAACTAACTCTGTTCAACGATTGCTAGCATGCCAGTCCAGACTTTCTCCGAACCCGTATCGAAGAAACGCAAGCTGGGCCTGTCAGCACCATCTGCCTCCCAAGAGTCAAAGAATGGATCTTTCACGGAGGTGCTTGAGAAGTTAAAGGAAGAAGCTGATGAGAATGGTGGTGCGTAAGGTCCGAGACGCGTGAAGCTCAAACTTACCTATAGTACTCTGCTATGCTATAGCTGCAGAAGGTGGCTCGGATAGCTGGTCGCGCCCTCCACTTCGCAATCTGGATCCTAAAAAGGACTCAATTGGTACCACTCAGATCTAATATCCAGTTGCTTTGGTACTTACTCGATGTGACAGTCTTCCAGCAGATTGACATCAAGCCGTCTCATGAGTTCAATGGAACAGGAATAAAATTGTTTGGCGTCACCGAGGTAATTACTTGTGACACGGCGTCGTGATTGTCTTATTAAACTATTGAAAAGGATGGACACAGTGTCCTGGCACGCATTCATGGCTTCATGCCCTACTTCTTCGTTCCAGCACCCCGTGGTTTTTCCGAAGATGATTTGTCACCCTTCTGCGACTACTTGAATGTAGGTAGCGACAGTATATGCTGAAATGACATTTATCTCACCAGAAATAGAAACAAGATAATGCGCGAACGGTCGACAATGTCAAACTCGCGAAGAGAAAGAGTCTTTGGGGCTATAGAGGCGATGATTGGGTTCCTTTCATACGAATAACTGCTACTCACCCGGGTTTTGTGCCTCGTATACGAGATAAGTCCTTCGGAAATGAAATTTTCCATGGAGACTGTATACTTATCTTTTTTTTTGGTGATATTCACGTTTGTTTGACAACGGAGAGTGTTCCTACAATGGCCTGTTCAACGGTATAGTCACGACATATGAGAGTAATATCCCATACATATTGCGTTTCATGATTGACACGAAAGTGAGACACGCTCATTCTATCTCATGTTTAATTGCTGACCTTAATCGAGGTTGTTGGCATGAACTGGATCGAGGTCCCGGCGGGAAAATATCAGTTACTGTCTGGAGAAAAGAAACACTCCTGCTGTCAACTGGAGTTCACCGTCGCGTGCGTGTTGGGTGACCTTTTTGCAACCTTATCTGTAACTTACTGTATTTAACAGCTGGAATGACTTCATTTCCCATGCTCCGGACGGAGAATGGTCAAAGATTGCACCTTTGCGAATCTTAAGTTTCGACATTGAATGTGCTGGTCGGAAGGGTATCTTTCCCGAAGCTCAAATTGATCCAGTTATTCAAATAGCGAACATGGTAACTCGGCAGGGTAAGAAGATCTTGGTCTGATTCTCATGTAACGGAGTTGAAAAAACTATGGACTTATAGGAGAGTCCAAACCTTTTATACGGAATGTTTTTACCTTGAACACTTGCTCGCATATAGTAGGATCTCAGGTCCTTTCGTACAAGTCTGAGTTGGAAATGTTGGAGGCTTGGCGCGACTTCGTAGAACAGGTTGATCCCGACATTGTTATTGGGTACAACATTGCAAATTTCGACTTGCCGTATCTGCTTGATCGTGCAACTGCCATCAAATCGAAGAAGTTCATGTACCTCGGCCGTATGAAAGGTGACAAGGACGAATGAATATTTTACTGTCCGTCCCGCTGACTGTCAACGTTACCAAGGTGTTAAGACTGTTGTCAAGGACACGCATTTCTCGTCGAAGGCATTTGGCCAGCGCGACTCCAAGGAAACTGACATGGATGGGCGTTTACAACTTGATCTACTGCAATTCATGCACCGCGAACATAAGCTCCGCAGCTACACTCTGAACGCCGTTTGTGCCCGGTTTTTGGGAGAGCAGAAAGAGGATGTCCACCACTCTGTTATCACGGAGTTACAAAATGGTACTGCGGAGTCAAGGCGTCGCTTGGCTGTTTACTGTTTAAAAGTACCTTCGTTAATTGACGACTCAGACTACCCTTCGCTAACGACATATTGTGCAGGATGCCTACCTTCCGCAACGGCTCATGGATAAACTCATGTGTTTCGTCAACTATATTGAGATGGCTCGTGTAACCGGAGTACCTTTCCACTTTTTACTGCAACGTGGACAGTCTATCAAAGTCCTGTCTCAATTACTCCGGCGCGCGAATGATGAAGGCTATATTACCCCTACACTAAAGGGCGGGGGAACGGATGAGCAGTACGAGGGCGCCACGGTCATCGAACCGAAGAAAGGCTATTACGATGCCCCGATAGCGACACTTGATTTCAGTTCTCTGTATCCCTCCATTATGATGGCACACAATTTGTGTTACACGACTTTGTTAGACAAGCATACTATAGACCGACTCAACCTAGTCAAGGGCGTGGACTACATCCAAACTCCCAATAACGGTCCGTATCTCTGTTGTTTGTATGATATTTGCCCTGCCTAATCGGACATAATTCAGATTTCTTTGTGACAAAGGAAAAGCGAAAGGGACTATTGCCGAGCGTCCTGGAAGACCTCATCGCTGCTCGTAAGAGAGCAAAAGCCGACCTTAAGAAAGAGACGGATCCCTTCCGACGTGCAGTACTTGACGGCCGTCAACTTGCATTGAAGGTAATGTGGATTGATGTGTTGTTAAAAATGACACGCTTATTCCCCCGAATAGATCTCTGCTAATTCAGTATACGGTTTTACCGGCGCAACAATTGGAAAGTTGCCATGCTTGCCCATTTCGTCGAGTGTCACAGCATATGGTCGGCAGATGATCGAGAAGACGAAGCAGGAGGTTGAAGCCGAATATTGCATCGCCAATGGTAGAGAACACAATGCGGAAGTGATCTATGGTGATACCGATTCTGTCATGGTTAAGTTCGGACCCTCCGACCTTGCAACCGTCATGCAGATGGGGAGTGAAGCTGCAGACCTCGTGACGGCCAAATTCATCAAACCCATTAAGCTCGAATTCGAAAAGGTGTATTTCCCGTACCTTTTGATCAACAAGAAGAGATACGCGGGCCTGTATTGGACGAAGACGGACAAATATGATAAAATGGACTCGAAGGGCATTGAGGTACGTTTTATCCGATGACAAAAGTACCGTTGTTTATAATTGTACGGGCATGCAGACAGTCCGTAGAGATAACTGCCGACTAGTCTCTACCGTCATCGAGACGTGTCTACACAAAATGCTTATTGACCGTGACGTGAAAGGAGCTGAGGAGTATGTACTCAAATTACGTCGCTGCTTCCATCTAATCCAGCGTTTGCTAGTTACGTAAAGCAAGTTATTTCTGACCTACTTCAGAACAAAATCGATATGTCGCAACTTGTCATCACGAAAGCACTGGCAAAAACAGGTGAGCCTACGGTTTGTGCTAGTCCACACTGCGACAGGATACTCATATCGGACCTCCGTAGATTATACCGCTAAGCAAGCGCACGTTGTACTCGCTGAGCGTATGAAGGAACGCGACGCGGGTTCGGCGCCAGCTCTGGGTGATCGAGTAGCGTATGTCGTCATCAAAGGGATGAAAAGTGCGCGGTGAATCCCTTTAATCAGTCTTCTTATATCCTGATTTGTTGGTTCAAGATGCTGCTGCATATGAAAAATCGGAGGATCCTATCTACGTACTTGAAAACAATATACCCATCGACACAAAATACTATCTGGAAAATCAACTTTCCAAGCCTCTCATGCGAATCTTTGAACCGGTCCTAGGTGAAAAGGCTAATTCACTACGTACGTCGCATCGCCATTTTTTATGCACTGATCTAACAACTTAATCGGACGCTAGTATCCGGAGACCACACGCGGACAATTCAAATCGCAACGCCAACTGTAGGGGGTTTGATGAAGTACGCAGTGAAGACCATAACATGCCTCGGATGCAAGACGGCTCTGAATGCGAAGAACAGCTTAAAGAGTATGGAATTGCTTGTGATACAATGGCATCCAGACTGACGAAAATGCTCCACAGATGGTGTGGTGTGCAACAATTGCAGACCGAGACTGGGTGAATTCTACCAGAAGCAAACGGTGACTACATCAGCCTTACAGGTGTCGTTTTCGCGACTTTGGACACAGTGCCAGCGATGTCAGGGCTCGTTGCATCAGGACGTTCTTTGCACGAGTAAAGACTGCCCGATTTTCTATATGCGCAAGAAGGCACAAAAGGACGTGGAGGACTCTGTTGCTGTATTGGAAAAATTCGACAACGAGGTGTGGTAGCACGTACTTGTACTTTTTCGTCTCAGGACTCTAGTGCTTTGACTTCATTAATCGTGTCCGTGTTTTGCAACTTGTATACAGTACTCACACGCAATATCAGTCAATAAACTGTAGCTAAAATCAGTAATGACTCTGTTATGAAATACATATTGACGGAACGCGCCGAAAACGCGTCGCGTCACGGGGCCACCGCGATCGCGTCTTCCTTAACCACAGTTACCATACCGCACTCACCAGCACTCTACTTAATTTGACGTTAGGCATGGCTGTTGTTGATATTGAGAATGCAGTACAACTAGCAGTCCAAGTAGTGCGCGATGCACATGCTAATAAGAAGCTGAGGTGCGTGTTTCAGGTTCAATCCATTTTTAACGCTCAATTAATTCACATACCGTTTCCCACCTGCATTGCCCGTCCTGCCGTACCAGCCAACTTACCAACCGGCTAGTCCGTCAAGAGGTTGAGAAAAGCCTTAAACTGGATGCTGGAACGCTTGATGAGAAACAGTACAAGAAACGGTTAAGTGAGACTGTCACCTCTACAGTTGTGAGTAGATTCACTTCGCCTCATGCGTTCTCAATCTTACGACTACTTTCAGGAAGAGCTACAATCTCAAAAACCCAGTAATGGTGAAGTCAAATCGGATGCAAAGGTGATACAGAAAGAAGGCAGCGCAAAACCGAGTTCATCCAAGAAGAAACGGAAATCTGTGGATGCGGAAGCCCCGGAGGCGAAGAAGCCAAAGAGCAAGTCGAGAACATCTAAGGTAGCTGATTCAAACACGGTTGACAATGTCAGTAAGACATATTCTTGGCTCATGACGCTGTTCTCAAGCATGCTCATCTATTGTTAGGAAGGAAAGGTTAAAGAAAGCTCCCCTTCGAAACCTGCAAAACCGACATCTGGTAAAAAGAAACGCAAGGAGGAAGTATCTACGGAACAGACACCAAAAGGGGAGCCAAAGGCAGATGTAACAGTCGAGTCCATTCCTCCAGAAGAAACGAAAGGCAAGCACAAATCCAGGGTACGAAGATCTTCCTAAAATCCGAGAAGGTAAATAGTTTATTTCGTAGGAAGTTATTATGTCCGACGAGGACGGGGATGGGGGCGCCAAAATCAGTGCGCCTGTTTCACCTACATCCCCCAGGAAACAGGCAAAGCGGTCTGTTCTTTCCGAATCAGAAGTGCGTCCAATACGATTCATATTATATCTTTTTTTTTTCTATGCGATAGTCTACTAATAGTCTACCATGCAGGATGAGGCTGAGCCGAGTACATTGCCAAAGAAACGTAGGAAGTCAAGCAAAGGACAGTCAAAGGGAAAAGAAAACTCGAAGACCGTTTCCAGCAAGGATAACCCAGCGAGTACGGATAAACATACTGAAAATGAGCCTGCAGCAAAGGAAGTCGAAGTATGTTTGGGCGGTTGTTTGCAGTTGATCATTTCTGACACCGGCTGTTAGGTACAGAGCGATTCCGAACTCTCAGTCTTAATCGATGAACCTCCAGCCAAGAAGGGAAAGAAGTCAAGGAAATCGGAGGGCGAGGTATTTCTTGTGCCTTATGGTGTGGTTACGCGACTGAAATTCTAACGTTGTAACAGAAGTCTGAAGGTGCCGCCAAAGAGAAAAAGTCGCCAGCAAAAAAGGAGACGAAAGAGTTGTCCCCGGATGAGGAACAGATAAAGAAGCTCAAGGTGAATATTTTGCGATTGACTCTTTATTTCCGTAAACAGATTTGAACACTTTGAAAATGTTCACTAGAGTTTCGTAGTCGCTTGTGGTGTTCGAAAAATTTGGAGCAAAGAACTGAAAGACTGCGAAACGCCTTCAAGCCAGATTTCCCACCTACGCAAGCTGTTAACTGATCTTGGCATGAAGGGGCGATTTAGCCTCGAGCAAGCAAAGTCAATAAAGGCGAAGCGTGATCTTGCAAAAGAGATGGGTTTGTCATTTATTCGCATTTATACTTATACGCACTACTCGTAGCTTACGTGTGTCTCTAGAGGACGTTCAAGAATTTGCAGAGAGATACGCGGGCGATCGGCCGAAACGATCCACCGCAAAGGCGATGCCGATTGAAGCTGACGCTTCCAGCGATGAAGAGGAGGAAGATGAGCCGTCTCGCCCCACCAAGGTACGTGCAGCATTTATCAGCCCCGTAACTTATTTATATTATTGAACGCATTTTACGAATGACCAGACCGCCCACCGAAGTATAATGGACTTTTTGGGCGATCAAAGTGATTCAGAGTAGGAGGGCTTATTGGCCCGCTTTTTCGGAATCTTCGCTCTTGTACAGTCGTTTTGTCGTTTTCTTTTCTCCCTTTTCTTCTTTTGGTATTTTATAATTATTCTTAGCTTAGTATAAGTCTCGCTTGGTAAATCTCTGAACTGTCGCTTGTCTACAGTTTAGAAGGTTGTGTTATTGTGTCGTTAACTCGAAGTCGCTCCACATGCTCTGTTTATTCCCTCTGAATTTCGCCCGAGTTATTTCCTACGTGTGTTTTCATGTCGCGCTGTGTATGTTGCTAGCTACAGATGCAATCACAAGTAGTGAGCTCTAGCCTGTTAAAACCCGGAAAAAAGCTACCTCCCGTGAAGAATTGGCATAAATTACGGAAACATCTTACTGTAAAATATTTATTTAATCGGGTATGGTACCAAAACGGAATGCTGATCGGCGCAGCTTCGGCTGCATGGCTTTGACTCTGATCTCTCATCGCACCAATTCAGGTCCTTACATCCCGTGTTTCCCGCAGACCTCGTAGCTCACTGAGAATTTTTCAGGCTTCCTTCTACCATCTATCCATTCGTTTCCTCCGTTCTTCACGTGGGTGTTAGAAGCATATCTCGCGATAAGGCTAACGAGTGCACAAAAGTCAGCAAAAGAATGTGACGACACAAGCAACTAGTGTAGACCAATGGTGTCGCCTTCTTCTATCCTATGCGCGGCATAGGAATTTATTCTTCCTGAAAGTTGATGACGCGGAGGTTGTCGGCGGAGATTGGGATGAGATTTTGCGGAACGAGCGTATAAATCGTATGTAGTGCGTCCTCATTCATGTTTCATTCTTGATATGTACGGTTCTTCGCAGGTCGTGTGCTTCCCGATTTCTTGGCATTCCTACTAGAAACACTTGTTGTGAAGAATATGGCCTCTTACGAACCTCCGAAGCAGAATCGTTCCGTAATACTTTACTGGAGGACTCCAGAAGAGTGGGGTGAAGTCTTGCACGAATGGGTCAGTGTCTCAGTGTCGTCTGCCTCCTATCACGCGTGGCGTTGCCTTCTGACTTGTATTTTATTGATCAGGCAACATCTACCGGCCAGCTTAACACGATCCTTACGTTTTACGAAATCACGGATCCTCCGGTGCCTTCACCTCTGTCGGGCATTCCGGACGTCATGATACGTCGTGCGATTGCATCTTTGGGGCGAACGGCACGTGCTCAGCTTATTGGCGTTGCGGATGGTGAGGGTGTGCGTTTCTTTCAGGGTATCTCGCGGTAAATGGTGAATAGTTAGAAGGTATGAATCTACACGCCAGTTATTCTATGTATATGTATTGACAAAGTTGTATGCTTAGTAGATAATGGATTTGTACTGATAGTAATGTTATAGTGCTTGACATAGACATTCTCTGCACAGGCCATCGCTACTTGCAGTTTCTACATTGGGTCGTTGATGACCGCTTGCAAGGTGTTCAAACCTGGGCTTGAGAATCTCCTCACTATGTCTGATTCTTGCAGAGGATTTCCAATCGGGCTTCGCCCGCCTTATCGACCGAAGTTGAACAATATGGTCGCATTCTAGTAGTCATTACGTTGCATTCGACTTCTTCCATTTCCTGCTCAGTGCCAAGTGAAGCTCTGTCAACTCAGAAAAGTCTCCTTGATGCTTCTCTGGAGCAAGAAATTGCTGTATATGGCATTTATAATCTGCACCAGAACTCGTGGGGTTCTTACTTCCTGGTCAGATCTTTCAAGGATGTTCGAAACTTTGATAAAGCCGTATTGCAATTGCTGGGGTAATTGGGCATTGAGCGTTTTTATCTTGCTACCTTGAAATCATGGCCTATAATGTCAGTCATATTGTGAGCATACAATTCTCCAGCATTTCATTTTTTGTGTCATCCATGGAACTAAGCTTGTTGGACGCTAGCGTCTGCTTGAACCGGTAAGCACCGAATTGCGTCCGCGTATCTGCCTATTTGTGCACACATGTTTGTTGAATATTTACGCCCAGAATACAAATATCAAAACTTTAATCAATAAGAGGAAATGCTCACGGCATTTGCGGAGATAACCGGCTAGGAAATGTGCGAATGGAACATTTTGACAGGGGATGTTTGGCCCTGTTGACATCTATGTATCTTCATGAAGACATGTTCCAGAGCTTTATTTGTGATGTCTAGACTTCCAGAATTCGGTATTGCTCCACTTCAATGACCCGACGGAATGTGACTGAATTGAAGAAGTGTGTCGAATAAATAGAACTGTGCGACCACCTCCGCAAAGAGTCAACGTGTCTTTCGTGTGTCTGGTTTTCTGGGTTTTGGTCGGATTATGTGTGCGTCGGGAATCTCGGGGGAAGGCTGCTGGCTGCGTACCTGACAGCTTCTAAGCATACAAAAGTCAGTGCGTTTGACATCGGTATATGGCGCGCTTTGAGCGGGCTGGCGAGAAAACGGCCGGAATTGAATGGCCAGGGACGGAAACAAAATACCCAAAAATGACGGATCGTCGCCATCCGCTCCGAGGTTATTGCCGATCGTTCGGGAGAAGCCGTCAAAGCCGACAAGTTTAATTAAGTCTCGGTGTGAACTATTCCTTTTCTTATTTTTCTGTGACCTTGGATTTGCATTTCCGACCACAGCTGCGCCAAAGAGGCATGAAAGTAAAAGCAATTGATCATGCCCCCACAGGAGAATGCTCGGCCGATCAAGCGTAGTATGAGTGTCGCGGAAGGAATATCTGTGATATAATCCAGCACGCGGGAGAACCTAGCCAAAATGGATCCGAAACTGAGGAAATGGCAAAGGTCATTCTGTCACTCGTACACACTCTCTGTTCCCGCTGTCCCAGGGACCGTCCCATCTCTCGTCTCCCCACTCCTCCATCCTCACTAGGGAACCTCCCGTCCTCTGCGTGCTCCAGGGCACTCTGGCATCTTGCCACCTCAGATGCCCTACTTTAGCTCGGTCAGAAGCGAGTTGGTCCAGAATCCTGCCTCAAACCCGAGGCAACGGACTTCCGACGATGTTGCTTTTAGGCCTCCACTACCGACTTTTAACCACGACGAATCGACATTAAATAACCCTGGTAGCTTGGCAAATGAGTCGGAGAAGTGCTCTCCAGAAGCCACCTTACAGCCACCTGCAGCCCCTACCTCATCAGGGAGTGCTCACAGCTCGCGCAAGAACCGGAGGAAAGGTTCTCGTATTGAACATGGATTGCGTGTGCACTGGGACCGATTCCTGAGGAGAGTTGGAGGTGGTGTAGAAGATTCAACCGATTCTGTTGTTGCCGAGAGCGGGGAGCAGGATGGTGCAGAGGTAGACTCGGAACGGCGCGTCACGGATGCAGATTATGAAGATGAAGATACCGAAGACGAGAAGTCTGTAAATGAGGTGGTAGTTGACCGTTCTTGGGGACGCTCACGGACAGGTTCCGATTCTATGTCTATTGACGAGGACGGCCCGAACAAGTCAAGTAGTGATCCTCATAATCCCGGAAGTGTCGACAAAGGTGGTACCTTGGGCAGTGACGACCTAGATAGTGATGCACGACATTCTCATCGATTTTGGAGCTGTTGTCTGCCGTTAAGTATGATTAAATGGCAACTGTGGAACTCGGCGGTCAAGTTTTTCTCGTCTCCATTCCACAGCCAAAAGTCTGAGGAACGTTATCGAAGAGAAATCTGGTTCCAAAGCAAGGTGAGTTTAGACATTATTTTATGAGGCGCACCTTATCATATCTTTCCAGCCTCTTGCATTGTGGTCTTCTCTTTTCTTCGTTATCAATTGGGTTCTAGGCTGTGCACTCGTCCCAAAACCGTTCACGATTGCCGATACCATTTTCTATTTCGCGGTGAGCATCGCATTACAATCGACATTCGGGTAACAAATTCTTATTCTCTACGTAAAGGTTGCTCCTGTTGTCACGCTACCAATACCTTTTCTTGTGATGTTTGACTTCGCTCGCGACAGGCCATACATTTATAATACGGCGGTTATCTTATCAACATGGGCGTGGTCGGTGTTTCAGGTCGTGGAAATGTAAGTCACTCGTCTCTTACTTCTTTTCTCTCCAGCGCATTGCCTTTCCTTTCCAGTTTTCTCTGTGGCTACTATTCGGGACACAGCCTGTATGGCTTGTCGTGTGGGACCAAGGATTTTCTGAGTCTGTTTTAGTATGTTGTCCTACCTTTCTGGACTGCCTCTGCAAAACTTAATTCTTACTCTTAGTTACACGTCGGCGCTTCAAACAATTGCCCTCTTTGGACTGAAAATGAATCGCTTTCCTGCAACCTTAGGAGCGTTGGTTTTTCTCGTTATGTGCGTCTATCATCAGTTCATTTCACAGCATCGAGTCTGGATTGATTGGGCCTGTCCGTGCTAAACATAGGTCCGCTTCCATGGTTATCCCGCACCGTATTGGATGGATACGCAGTAAGTTCACATTTGTGACGCCCGCACTCCACCCGGTTGACGTAACTTTGCTATTCTGAATTAACTAAAATAGACGATTTGAACTTCATCTTCTTCCAGGGTTTCCTCCTTTATATTCATTATATGAAAGAAGTTGTGCGTATCTTTCGCTTTTTAATGTGCCGTTGTGGATTATATCCTCACATGAATAATAGGCCGAGCGGAGGCTCTACGAGTTACGTGACCGACTCAAAATTCAATTCAAGGCAACGCAAATGGCACAGGTTAATGAGCGAAAGGCGTCAGAATCCAAACGTCGTCTCACATCGTAGGTGCTGATTAATTGCAATATTCCTTTCCACTTATGCTGAAACAAACTCAGCTACGTGTTCCATGATAAGCCTCGTTTCTTCGAACTATACGCAAGGTGTTGCTCTGACACTTCACTGGATTGCTATTACAGGTCCGAGTTCCATTGAACACAGCGCGTAAGCACCAGCTTCTTGGAGGGCGTTAATATGTTAGCTTACGATCGCTCCACGCTCGCGCAACTAGTCATCGCTGTGCAAAATATGGAGGCATATCGTGCTATCCCCAAAGACCAAGAGGTTGAGTTCTCCGCTCTTTCGGGCAGTCTGAGTATGATGTCGAAAGGTATGTCAATGTTCATATGTGCCTACATCATGCGCCAACTACGTTTTGATCACTTGGGCTAGTTTTGAATGACGTTTTGGACTTGTAAGCACGTCAGATGCACATATTACTTCTGCATCTAACATAGAGCCATAGCAATCGAATGGATAGCGGCTTATTGGAGTCTGTTTCTATGGTAGAGTAACACTCTTACCATTCTGAGAAATTAGGACTGATTCCTGGCTAGCCTTACGCCTTTCATGCCGTTATGCGCTCAATGTTCGTTCCTTTGAAACTGGCTACTGATGCAAGAAATCTCCATTTCGACACTGAATTGGACAACTCCATTGATATCGTACGTTCTTCCGTTACATTTTAGAAGGCCACTGGGCCTAATCCTATTCGAAAAGGTTGCCCGCCATGCAGTCTGGGAAAGCCTCGTTGCCCAGGACAAGCTTGTTATCCAAGACGGAATAGATACTTTCGAGAAAGACATGGAAGCTCATCCTGATGAGGATGGTGTTGTCGTCGGTGACGAGATGCGCCTGAGGCAGATCGTCACTAACCTTGTTAGCAACGCGTGCAAATTCACACCGGCGGGTGGAACACTCACTGTGCGCACACGCCTCATTTCACCCAGCCTGCCCCAAAGTTCAAGTGACAGGTACGGGCTGAGATCGAATGGAGACGCTTCTTCCACTACAGCCAACTCGCGTAAGCGATCTTGCGACGTTGACCTTGAGCGAGGTGGATATTCTGGTCTGTCAGCACATACACTGGATCAACATAATGCCTCACACCGAAAAAGTTCCACTCTGGATAAAATTATTGTGCGGATAGAGATTTCAGACACCGGATATGGCATCAAGGCAAAGGATATCGCAAAGGGAAAGCTCTTCTGTTGGTTTATTCAGTTTTTTTTTTTGGCATTTCTATGTTACTAACAGTATTTCCTTGATAAGCGGCGTTCAATCAGACCCAACAGGGCAGACTTCAGGGCGGTAAAGGTACTGGTCTTGGTCTCGCACTTGTTCGACACATTGTCTCGTTAAGTGGTGGCCGACTTGGTGTCCAGTCAAAAGTAGGGGTTGGGTCAACTTTCTGGGTTGAACTTCGTATGTTTGTGTTTGCAGACTTTTCTGTCCCGCTTTCTGACTTGAACTCTGTAAGCCCTTGGAGTTGGCAAGAAAGCGGCAGGCGGAACTACCAGCTCTGATCCAAGTTCCGACCGTGGGGGGCCTTCAGGTATTGCAGGCGCAAGACCAAAACCTACCCCAGTGCAATCAATGGCAAGATCAAGGCCTAGTTCTAGCAGTAGAACGGTTTCTCCTGCGAGAAGCCATACACACATGGGTGGTAGCAATTCATTCGGACAGGCATCTCAGGCGTCGTCGGCTCTGAAGGGCATCATGGAGCAAGGTTAGTGTAATGTCATAAGGAAGTATTTTTCTGAGGCTGTTACGCCCGTAGGTGGTCTAGTCGAGCTTGGACCATCCAGGATCACCGAGGGTGGATGTTCTATACCGACTCGCTCAATCGGCGATCCATCGACTGGTACGGACACTGGCAGCTTAGCTGGTGATCCACCATCGCCAAACGACCGGGAGTCTAGGAACTTTCAGTCGACGATGCGACCGATGGAAGGTCGCGGCGTTTCCCCTACACGCCGTCCTTCACACGTCGACATCCCAAGACGGCCTTCTTTCGGCCATGCCAAAGGGTCTCCTCCGGCTTCAGCAGAGCTCACGGCTGAGAACAAGAGCCCGCGGCCCGTTGCGCTGGACCCACCGTTACGAGTACTAGTGGTAGACGACGATCAGTTAACACGCAAGTTGATGAAGCGGATGTTGCAGCGATTGGGTTGCACTGTATCGACAGCCGAGAACGGGCAAATCGCGTTTGACCTCATCACGGGAGATGGGCGCACCCCTGGGTCGGATGGCGGCGAAGTTCCAGGCCAAACAACAGCGTCATCAACCACGCCCATGCAGCGCAACTTTGAGGGTCCGCGGTACGAGATAATTTTCCTAGACAACCAGATGCCGGTTCTCTCGGGACTTGACCTTGTCGCGAAGCTACGTGAACTCAGACGAAAAGATTTTGTCGTTGGTGTTACGGGCAACGCACTACTGTCTGACCAAGAAGAGTACCAGCAGGCTGGAGTTGATTAGTACGTCCATTTGCTGCCTAGCTTAAGTGACTTCGGTGATTCTCGGTGCTAATGGATCGACTAGTGTTATCACGAAACCTGTGTACGAAATCAACTTGAAAAGCATGATAGCACTGGCTGCTGAACGACGGAAAAATGGTGAACCTTCGCCTCGACCGGACTGTTAACGACTTTGAATGGTCTTGGGATTTACTATTGTTGTATATCAATTATATTTCGGGGTTATCGGGTCGCATATCTTGGGTTACATTGCATTTACATTATTTACACGGACTGTTAATATGCAGCAAACGTTTGAGTGTATATACATATATCATTGCCGAGAGAGACATGTACCGAAGTAATATTATATTATACTATGATGCCGTGAAGGGTAAGGAGTGCTGAAACGAGTGCTTTTGTAAACGAGGGTTCATCTGCCAAGGGACTAGATCACGGGTGTGCAGCACGTGGTCATATACGGCTGCTGCACGAACTTCGGGGACGCCCCAGCCATTAACCCTCTCTCAACTCTCACTTCCATCATGTCCGACAACGGCACTAATCCAGGCGAACATCGCCCGCCCACAGATGACCTCAAGCCGCGCGACGCTCCCCCGACTCCTCCGAGTCCCGACGACTTGGACGCAGGTGAGAAGCAGCATATCAATCTTCCCGTTCCATGCCGTTATCGTCCTTAACACGCGTCATCCCAGACTCCAAGGGCTCCCGGAAACGCGAACGCGAGGTCTCTCTCGAACCTGCAACGCCCAAGGTGCGTGTCGCCGCGTCCGGCACGACATCTGGCGCATGTGTTCAGTGGCTCATATTCAACTTTTTCCCTTTCGTGTGCTTCCACAGGCGGACGAGCAGGCTGCAGAAGACGCCCAGGAAAGACGTACGCCAGCACCGAAGAAAAAGAACCGCGTAAAGCTCGGCACAACGAAGGAAGAGGATGAGACGCCGCCCGCGTCTCCGACCAGGATACCAGTGGAGCTGTCGACTTCGCCTCCGTACGAAACGAAGGTTCGACAGATCAGCAGGAAGGTCCGTGGGATGAAGTGGGATGACAAGGACAGACCAACACCTGAACTCTCGCAGGATATGATTGCATCTGCAGAAGATGCCGACTCAAGGGATCCGAACGTTGAGCTTGAGGCTGCTGCTGAGATCTCGCCGATGCAGCGGGCCGTGACGTCCGAGCAGAGCGTCCCTGCTACAGACGAATCACTCACATCCACAGAAACCGTCCCGGAGTCACAAGTGGACGAACGTCCTCCTCCGGACTCTACACTGACAATGGACTCCGATTTAGATGATCAAGAAAAGGGACTCAAGCGGAAAATTGGCGATCGACAAGCGAGTGCCAGTCTTGAAGAACAATCAGGCAAAGCTCGTGTAGAAGCTTCCAAGCGCTCTCGTGATGACCATGACGAAGACGACAACCCTCGAGAAAAGAAACGTCCTACTCCACCTCCCGAAGAACTCGACGAGGAATCGGCCGAGCAGGATTCCAAGGACATAACCCCTGATCCTTCACAGACTGGGCCCGTTGCACCACAACCTAAAGTCGTGGGTTGTCTTGTTAAACTTTATTGCAACAAAAGGTTGATTCTATTACTTGTATTTGACAGGGAGGCTTTCTTGCATACGCAGCTACCTCTTCACCATTTGCATCAGCAAAAGGTCCTTCTGTCTTTGGCCAGAAGTCAACACCCTCTCCAAGTCCACTCGCCGGAACGAGCAACGGCTCCGCATCCAGTTTTTCATCTGCCTTTGCAATGAAGCAATCGTCACCGTTTGCAATACCCGGTGGAAGCAAACCCAGCTCCACAACTGCCTCGGCTCTTGCTTCTCCTTCACCGTTCTCATCAAACACTGCGAGTGCGAGCGCTTCAAATAATCTCTCAACATCTCCAACGGGTACCAAACGATCAGGATTCGAGGCTTTCGCATCAGCTGCATCCCCTTTCGCCGCAGCGTCGCGATCTAAATCACCGCCGTCCGGGCTCGGTTTGGCTCGTAGCAAGAGCCCAACGCGGCGCGGCCCCGGATCATCAATTAATGCATTCAAGTCTTATGCTGGATCCGGGACACAAAGCTTCTCCGCACCTTCACCACCAATAAAGAAACAACGCCACGATTCTGGTGAAGATGCTGAGAATGAAAAATCTGTCACACGTAATGCGCTTGACTCTACCTCAAATGGCGCAAGTCCAGAAAGCAGTGAATCGGAGGAAAAGGCCGAGCAGCCTACATTCGCTGACCGCCTTAGGGCGGAAACGAATGTTCTCGAAAGCCAAGAAGGCAATGAAGACGAAGGCAAGATCGTTGTTACAGAGCGAGAAGGTAAATATTCCCGGATTAATACCATTGTTTCGTGTTATTGATCATTTTCTATTACTCTAGTCCAAACTGGAGAAGAGGAGGAGGATACGATCTTCCAAGTACGCGGAAAGCTCTATGCATTAAGTGAACAGAATGCATGGAAAGAGCGCGGGACGGGTTTACTCAAGCTAAACGTGAGGAAGTCGGACGGTTGCAACGCAAGACTGGGTAAGCTAGCTACCATCTGTGAAGCTCCAGTGGCATTGATTAATTTTCTCTATATCACATCATAGTCATGCGGAAAGAGGCGGTATTCACACTCCTGTTAAATGTCACTCTTTTCAAGGGCATGAGATGCACAATCGCACAAGATCCTCGATATGTGCGGTTCAGCTGCATTGAATCTGGAAAAACTATTCATTATAATTTACGAGTGAGTAACCCAACTATTTTTAATTACCGGTAGGTAAATCGAGACTGAAATTTTATATAATAGCTTTCAAACGCGAAGGTCGCATCGGAGCTCATTGAAGAAGTCAATGCAAACATACCAAGTGACGAGCCAGGCGATGCTGTTTAATATTCAATCTCCAACTTCTCCTGTCCTCTCTCCTCAGTTTCCACTCTTAATTCGCCATACACTTCTACGTCGCTCTCGCTGCCCCTCCACACATAAACTGAGGGTGTAAATTACGGAGAAACGCCTTCTTTGAGCAAATACCCCGGTCTCGTCTCTTTGCATGCCATTGCCATTTCCCCTATTGCTGCTGAACTCCGTCACGACTGCTGTATATATGTACCGATCACCTACATCTGCTAATTATCTTGCTTTCTGCTCCCCGGGTTATGTATCGGCTTAATAGACAATGATATATGTGCTCTGGATTCTTGGAGTATGGTTGTTCTGTAAGTTACGTAGTGAAGTTTGGTTGGTTAGATTGTGCATAGTGATTCATCCAAAGAAGCGAATGCTTCGTTTGATACGTACAGT